ATCAGCCTTGCCAGGCTTCCTGCCTTAGGTAACTTCCTCTTCCATCCCAGCCCCTTCCAGGGGTTGTTTGTCTCGTTGAGTTTCTCCCCCCTCATTCAGGGTCACATCCTTATGGCATTCTTGCTTGGCTGAGGCTCTTATCAGTCTTGTTCTCACGCAGGATTGCTCACATGTCCATTCTCTCGCAGGAAGTCCTCTTGAATCCTAACATATGATGCAGTTCAATCATCCTCAAAGGAGACACTTGCTTACCATGAGCTCCAGGACAAGACTCTTGTCTTTTACAAACAAACGCAATTAAGTATTTTTCTTTATGTCAAAGACCTGCATGAGATCAGAGATATTAGTAACCTGGTAATGAAAAACTGATTTTTTAACATCTACTATTAAATGAATTAAATAACAGTGATTTAAAAAAAAAAAAAATCGTAACAATTCATATAATCTGAAGAGTTATCTGTATTTGTATAGATCTGTATTGGTACAGATCCCACGACGGCCAAGTAACTGAAGGTACGTACAATCTTAAAAATCCATGAAAGGAGAACGTCTTGCAGCGCAATGTTGCGCTCCTTTGAACTGAAGCAATGCACCTCAAACCCTGGAGAGTTTCCTCACACCGAAGTGTTTTGCACACCAGAGCCCAACTGCAGGGAGAAGTCCAGCTACAGCTTAAAGAACCTGGAGAAGACGTGAAACAAAACATTCAGTAACCATCAAATTTGCTTTCTGTTAATGTTCCTCTTCAAAATCCGCGAATCATTTCAGAGTTACAGGCCTTTAGATTTAGGACAGCGTATCTCGAAAGAGCCCACGGCACAGGCTGGGAGCCTGTACCCACTCTGTCAAGGGAAGGCCGTGGGGTGCCTGTGTTAGAAACGGGGCGGCGGGCGCTGCTGAGGGCAAGAGTCTCTGAACCGCCCCCGAGTAGGGCGCCTGGAGCCGAGCTAGGCCGCCGCAGGGATGATTTGACCGTGACACCTTGGCCTCATCCACGCCACGCAGACTTTCAGGCTCCGGAGAAGGAGGCCACATCCAAGCTGCCTGCTGGGAACAGGGGATACTCAAGGCGGCAGCTGGAAGCGGCGGGAGAGGCCCGGGGGCCGTTGACAGTTACTTGTTTTAAATACCCGCCATTAGCCAGAGCAGGGCCGCCGTAAACAAAACACGGCGCGGGGTTTTTCTTTGCCGGGTGTAGGCGGTTGTGGGGAGGTGCTCGCCTCGGGCTGGTCTTCAAGGAAGGGAAACTTTCTCTGGGCTTTTCTGTAAAACAGGTGTTTCTGGAGGTTTTTGTAAAGGAGTGGGGCCTCTTCCTTTTGGCTCCATCGTAATGCCGTCATGCCCTGGGGTGTGTTTTGCTTTTGTGCCCGTCGAGCTGTTTCTGGTTCTCTGTGGTACTGTAAAGCGCTGTTCCAGGACAAGCTCGTTTTGCTGAAAGTTGTATTTAGGCTTATTTGCTGGACTGAATGACAGCTAGGAGGTTCTCACTTCAGTTCAGACATACCAGGCTTTGATATCTTTTGCTTGTAAGACCAAAATACGCTTTTGTATTTACACAATGAGGAAACTGAGGCAGATTTACGTCACTCAGCCTTCTCTCCTGCGTTTTTGTTGAGACACAGATTTTCTTTTTTTTTTTTTTCTGTAAAGAATTAAACCCCACCTTATTTTCATAGTTTTAATCGCTAAAATGTGGGGTTTTTTCCACCTGGAAAAGAAATAAGAATGCAAATTTTAAGTCTATAAGCTAGTGCCAGAGATGCCATGAGAGTTAGTAGCTCAGTTTCCCTGTCTTGGCATTGTGGTTTGAGCCAAGTCAATGGCTGTTTAAACAGATTTTTGACAGCTTGGAGGAAGGAGGTTTTCTGATTCTTTTCAAATAGCTTTATCATAAAGTTAATACAGAGCATGCAAAAATGACCTCTTGTAAAGGTCATTCCACTGAGCACTTGAAAGATCTGATAGTTGAATTCAACAAAGCAGAAAACAAATTGTAAATAGTTATTCAGATGGATAGAGTTTGGAAATCAAATTGCATTTGTAAATCTGAAGGAGAAAAAAGATCGCTTTGTGAAGTCCCACCGTGCTTATTGTTTAGATAAAGGATTAAATATCTTGTATGTGTCTAAAAGGTTTGAATATCTTTTCTGTGTTAACTTGTAGAGAATGAGTATATTGTATAAGTGATGACAGGGGTGACTTGCATCTACAGCCTTCTACAGGTGGATAAAGCTGTGTGTAAGTAGTGAAACCTGTGCTTTCTTTGGCAGACGCTCCATGCTGCCCCGTCATGTGCAGAGGTTGGGCAGAGACTGCATTGCCCACTGGAATGGTTCTCAGATACTCACCTTGACCAGCCCAGGTTCTGGCTGTATGAGATGGGCCGGACACTATCCCTGGGTCTCGTTTCCACTTCCTGCTCCGGTTGATTTCTCAGCAAACTGGAGACTTCCTCCGTTTTTTGGACCCTGGAGACAAGTTCAGAACTCTAATTGGCAGCTTGATAACTTCACACAAAGTTCTTGTTTTCACCTGCCTAACCCCAGTATGAAATCTGAGGGAGAAGAACCTTTGACAAAGAGGAGAAGACTCAGTGGCCAGCATGATACTTCAAATCCTGAAGAAGAAACAAACTTCTCTCATCAGAAGGAAGCATTGTGTCTTTCTGTAGCACAGAATGAAGAAAAACATAACAGCAAGAAAGGTAAAAGATGTCCATTTTCCTTGTTTATTTGCAATGCTAAACAATCTAAAAAGTTATAAGCAATACTGCCTTTTCAGTTACTGTTTTGGCACCTCCCTCAGGAAAGCATCTGTCTTAAAAATGTTGCAATTTTGCAGTGCTGTTTAGTCTGTAAACTTGCATTTTGTGCTGTCATGAAGTCTGCTGAAACTAGATTCACTGTGCTCGGTCGTAGAATACAGTCAGTTATGCAAGGGATTGCCCAGCTGGGGAGTCCTGAGCTTGGTTCAGACAACTCTCTCTCAGGTGCCTGTCGCCAGATTGTGTCCGTTAACTTGGGAAGCCTTTTAAAGAAAAAAGATGGAGCTAATTTGCTGTAGGGCTAACTGAGGCTGGCAGTTGCATAGCTTCATCCCTTGTACTGTACCTGAGCTCATAAGGTCTGCTGGACCTGAGTTGGCTTCTTTCCAAGGCAGTTCTTTCTGACCTAGGTAACAGAATGAATGGACTGAGATTTAATGTGTTTGCTTCCAGTGTGATTGGGCAGTTTTGTTTTTACAGCGGTATTCTGCTACTGGTATGTTAGCAAGTTTAGTGTCAGACCATGACTAGCAGAGCAAAACAGCAAATGGTCTTACCCAGATAAATACACTAAGTGCAAAGATGTCTATGCAACTCAGTAACAGACGTTCATGAAACTTCAGAGTGTCTGCGTTAGCTTACTACAGACATAATCTTCTACATAGTATCCAAATGTTTTACTATTGTGGATATTAACAGTTCTGTCTACTGTGAAACAAGTAGAGGGGCAAGGTCAAAATTAAGGCCCTCTTGCATAAATCACTTCCTTAACAAAATAAACTCAAAGTTGTATTATGACTTTAAAGGGTGACGCCATCAGCATCCCAAAGGGATTTTTGGACACAAATACCCATAAGGCTTAGAAACATGATATGCATCTTTAGGAGCTGAAGGAAGAGAGTTTGCTTTGTGCCTTTATCACTGAGTCCTCTCTTAACCTCCCTGGACATACCTTTATCTGAGAGTGTGGTTAGCATTGTGGTCCTTCCTAGTTATCTTTGTTCACATACCGTAGGGTGATGGTAACTAAAGATACCTGCTGAGGAGCAATGCCCTCTCTCTCCCACTGTAAAAGCAGTACTTAGAGCCTTGCTGTATTCCTTGCAAATACTAGATAAAGTCCCATACCCAAATAGGGCATATACTAACGGATATAGCTGCAGTCTGCCACTGGTTGATAGCACAGATGACTGGACCTCGGCATGCTCTCGGATGAGTTTGAACATAAAGGGTGAAGTGTTCATGAGTTTTGTAAGGAGAGAAATACATATCTGAAAATAATTGGATGCTTAATGATGGGCAGCTGTATTCTCATCTTTCATATAATGATACTTTCATATAGTGATACTACTAAGTATGAGACTAAGGAATGGCAGGAAGGCAAAGTAAGCCTTTTCAAAAGTTCTTGGTAATTCTGAGGCTTATTAATTTTTTTATTTCTCAACCTTACTGAGGGAAATCAGGTTCATTATCTGTTTTGGGACCCCTATAATGGACCCTGCTGCAGCTTATGGCTGAGTTTTTCAGACTTGTATAGAGGGTAAAGGTGAACCCTATGTTTGATTCCTAATGCTTTGTTAGTCATAGTTTGAGAGATCAACAAGATGCTCATATGCTTCTCTAATGGGCATATCCCAGACTGGGATATATCCACTGGGGAGCTAGTGGCAAAAGGCAGCATAAGACTATGTCAGCAGACCGCATTTGGCCTACCAGTTTGGCAGCCCTTTCCACAGGGAGCAGGGTGGTGTAGTTTGACAGCAACCATCTCCTTAGAACGTGACAGTTTCCTAATTTCAAAGCAGTGTGAAATCCAGGGTGTATAACAGTTTTGTTCTATGTTTTGGGGTTGGGTGGGGCTTTTTTGTTTGGTTTGCTTTGGTTTTTACTGATGCTTATATAAAGTTAATTTTAAACAGAGGATCTAAATTCCTGCTAATCAAATAAGCTTTCTGAATTGCTTAAGCAAAATTTGAAAGATGAATAGTTGTCAGTAGAATGATTTCTAAGAGTGGTAGGAAGTCATATGTTATATTACATAACTTTTTTTACTTCATGTGCTTTAACAGGAACTGTCAAAAGACACTGGGAATATTTCTGTCAGTACAGTAGAACAATGAAAATCTTTGAAAATAAAGAAACTGACCAAAGCAATACAGAAAGTGAGGCAAAATTTGATTTTACGGTCATGTCCTACAATATCCTCTCACAGAATTTGTTAGAAGATAACTCCCACCTGTACAAACACTGCAGGCAACGACTGTTAATCTGGACATACAGATTTCCCAACATTCTACAAGAAATCAAACAGCTGGATGCAGATGTGAGTAGAAAATGAGCACATAGATATTTCTTAAGAACCGATGAACTGGACTAGCAAATTCTTGCTGTTTTTATTTTGATAAGTGGGCTCTCTAGTGAACCCAACTGAACTTTAGTTTTGATTTATGCTTGTGCAATTAGTGTATTCTGTGTGATCTGGACTTACAGCAAAGGCACGCTCTACAGTATGTATCACTCATAGTTGCCTTTTTTGTCCATAACTTCCCAGAATGGTCTTTTTGTGCCATCAGTTAAGTGCAAAGGACGTGCAAGATTGAGTGTTTGGTCATTCAAAATCAGTCTTGCATGCCAGGCTTTTCTGGAGGAAAAATAGTGTGCCTCTGCACAGGAGGGTCAAATTAAGGCATCTTCCAGGACTGGCATTTTCTAACTTCCAGGTGTGTGACTGACTTCATATTTGTTACAGTAGGTGTCTGTATACACCGTGAATCAAAAGCCCTTTCTAAATTATGTCTGCTAATCCTTCAGAGCTGTTTGTTAGACCAGGTAATAGAGAACTTATAATAACGCCTGAATCCTTTACTTGGAAGGCAAACTCAAATGTTTCACTTTATTGATTGTATGAGGACTGGAGTGATGAGGCTGCTATGTGGATCTCCACCTCCTTGAGAATAATGGTTAAGGCTGAGAGAAAGATGCAGGTGTTAGTAGCGTTCATGTGAGACTGATCCAAAAGTGTTCCTCTGAGGTGTTCATTTTCTCTCTTCATGTGGTACTCTGCACCATTGGACTTGTGCACAAGCTTGCTGTTCTCTACTGAAACATAACTGAACTTCTGCTTATACTGGGGTCTGAAAAAATACCTTACCATGTTGGTTGGTTGTGGGGTAGTTTGTTTTTGAGGACACATCACTTCCTGTTGATCAGGAAGTCAAGTCAGTAAACTTTTTGCTTCAGTTGTTGTTCAGGCCAGTAAAAGTTTGGTGATAGAATCCAACCTGTTCATGTCAGAAAAGAGTACTGAAAAAATCAAAGTAGTTGTATTAGGAAAGCCACAGAAAACTTCCTTGTACCATTTGGAAAATGCAGTTATGTTAGTATGTAGCCAGGAAGCTGGAGATTAAAGTCCCCTTCAAGCTCTTCCTTTCTTCCTGATACGTACATACAGTATGTATAAATTTATCTTTACAGTGAGATACATTAGTGAGCTTTCTGGGGACAGCACTGGGCATAGGGACTCTGGTGAGGATCTGCCTGGTGCTGTTAGTTGTAACAGACAGTTCTGCAGGATGGAAGGGTTGGAGTCGAAGCCAGCCCCTCTAGCAAAGAGCAGTTCAGTCTAGGGTACTTGTGAAAGTCTGCAGAGCCACACAAAGCAGCACTAGGGTACAGAGCCTCTGAATTATTTTTTTTTCAATACCTATACAGACTGGCCAACAGAGATATGATACAGTAACTTTTTAATGTACTTACTAATACCTTTTAATTGTAAACTCTTTGCCTTAGGTACTCTGTTTACAAGAAGTCCAAGAAGACCACTATAGAACGGAGATCAAGTCAAGTTTGGAATCCCTGGGTATGATGAAAATCTTATGACTGATACATTGTCTTCTCCCCTGTCTCAGTAGTATTTTCCTCAAAAAACCTCTCTTAGATTACAGAATCAAGTCTCAGCACTACATTTTATCCAGACAGTTTATATTCATTAGTTTTTATACTAGTAGCCTCAGTCAGCCTAAATAGCACTGTCTTAACACTCTCCTGTGTGAATTTATGGAAAAAACATGTTGCTAGGGGTGTGATTTCATGGTGGTTAAACAGATCTAAATCTTTTGTGCCCTACATCTCCTTCCAGTCTCAGGGGCCCACTCTGTTCCTGGTACTGGTACTTGTCTGATGCCAGGAGGAGCCAATTAAAGAAGCAGCACTGAACTGATACTTTTTTCTTTCTTGGTTAGTTGGAGGTAGTCTAGCTCCCAGAATTGAGTTTGTAACGAAGGTAGGGTAATGGCAATACTGATTTACATCCACTTGAAATGAGAAACAACACTGTAAAGCTAGGCTTGTGTGGACAACTGAACTATCTACTGCTATACAAGAGGATCTGAAGCTTTCTGTAGCTCTTTCTCTTACCCTTCCCCTCTGTAGCTCCCAGATGCATGTCCTGCCCCTCTTCTGGACTAGTTCTGGCACTCAGTAGACCTTTACCCTGGTGAAATCCACCAGTCCAATCCAGACTAATTTTATTTTCCTGGATTAGTTTTCTGTTGGCTTAGTGAGTTAACAGTAAGTGCCACAAGTGGCTCGAGCACATGGCATGGAGCAGGGAGAGAGCTGTAGGAGTCCCCTGTTCCAGCACTGGTGTGAGCTTGGAGGTCGACTCACTTCATTTTCATGAGGCTGTACTTTATGAATACACATGGCATGGACTGGGCAGAGAAGCATTTTTAAAATGGCAAAAACTAGATATTGTTTCAAGATCATTATTTTTTTCTTACATTGATAAGGTATCATTAAAATTTGCTTTTCACTTCTACATAAAATTAAGAACTTGACAAACTACTATTTTCAGGTGACTTGTTTGAACTCTGATACTGTCATTTGATAAGCATCTCAGTTTCCCTCTTGAAAGCTTGCTGCTAACTGCATAATTACATAACTGTGGAATGTTTGAGACCTTTGTTCTATGAATTATTTTAGACAGTGTTTTATGACTTCTAGTGATTATTGCTTTTGATTGGAATGTTCACTGGTGTTATTTGTAACTATTGTGGTTAACATCCAGAAAAATTTCAATACACAAGTCCACTTTTATGTGATTTGTGGGGTTTTTTTGTTGTGTTGGTTTGTAGTTTTTTCCATGTGAGGAGAGAAGAACATGTCTGGTATCTTAAAAAGTACGTAGGTGCTTACACATCAGAAAAGGTATTAGACCAGATTTCCCATAGTATCAAAACTAGCACTAGAAAGGGCAGAAAGACTCTCGTGTTCACTTTTCTATGTGAATGTCACGTAGTCTTTGGTACTTCAGACTGGGTGTAGACTGCCATGTGAGGAAGGTTGTGTGAGGCTTTTCTAATTTTTTTTAAAAATAATCTCTATTTATGCAATTTATGTTTTTAATTGCCTCTCTTGCAGGGTATCACTGTGAGTATAAAATGAGGACAGGGAGAAAACCCGATGGCTGTGCTATTTGCTTTAAAACTTCCAAATTTAGCCTGATTTCATCAAACCCCGTGGAATTTTTTCGCCGTGATATTCCACTCTTGGACAGGGACAACGTTGGACTGGTGTTGCTTCTGCAGCCTAGATTTCACTGTAAAACTAATGCTGCAATCTGTATAGCCAACACACATCTGCTCTATAACCCAAGGCGAGGGGACATCAAACTGACCCAACTTGCAATGCTCCTGGCAGAGATTGCTAGTGTTGCCCCTCAGAAGGATGGTACCTTCTGTCCAATTATCATCTGTGGTGACTTCAATTCTGTTCCTGGCTCTCCATTGTACAGATTTATAAAAGAAGGAAAGTTAAATTATGAAGGACTTGCTATAGGGAAGGTAGGCTGTACTTTTCACTTCTCACCAAAAAAAGGTTAATGCCAATTGAAGAGAAATATCTAAGTGGTGCTAGCATGCCGTAATTGTGATTATTTCCATTGCAGTAGCAATCTTAGTGCCCTTTACACAGTCTGCAAAGTGAAGGTTAGTGTGGAGTTACTGAAATAAGCTTGGTTGTATTAGCTGTGCCTTGCAGAATATTGTATCCGCTTCTAGGATTCTGAAATGAAAACTTGCAAACAAATTAATTGTTATTGGAATGTAGTTATCCACAGGATGATTGTATTACTGTGTCACAGTCTTTAAGTAGGATAAAATAACTACTTAATCAAATACCTACTGTGTACTTCATGGAAAGATGACTTTTATGTTAGACACTGTAATTTGAAGTTTATCTAGAATTACTGTAAAAGCGAAAATGCAATTAGATGCTGAACTTAAACTGTTTCAGGTTAGATGGTTTCTGTTGTAAACCCTGTATGTAGGTGTTGGATATGTGAGATGCTGTTTAATAGAAAGTAACTGGAGTACATACAAAGAGAAAACATGAAAAAAAGCCCCACTGGTGTTTGTTGCTAGTTCTTTCAAGGACCACCCCCCCCACCCCCGCTTTGATTTGACTTGCTCCCAGAAGAATAAGCATTATGAAGATACAGTAAGCATCGGCTAGGGAGTTATGTATAACTCATCCTGTTACATTGCTAAAAGTGTTGTTGGGTAGGTAGTCTCTCTGCTTAGTGCCACAAGAACCATTCTGAAAAATTGGGTAGCTGCAAAAAAAACTTGGTAGGAGTAAACAAAGGGGGTGTATCTAAAGGGGTGGTGTCATTTTTACAGAGATTTGACAAGCCATTTTAAAAGGTCTATTTTAAGGGGTCGGGGCGTTTCTTTGCTTAAAACTTTAAACTTTAGAAAAAATGTCCACTCATTTCAGCTTTGGGTTGTGTTCGTTGTTTTGTTGTGTTGTGGGTTTTTTTTTTAAATTGGATTTCTGTCTGAAAAAAGCTCATGTCCTCTTTCTTAGGTGTCTGGACAAGAACAGTTTCCAAGGGGACAAAGAATCCTATCTATTCCTATTTGGCCAAAAACATTAGGTATTTCACAAAACTGTGTATATGAAATAAAACAGCAACAAAAAGAAGAAAATACAGGTCAGTTTCTGGGTTGATGAATATTGTGGTCCTTTGAAAATGTCATTCAGGTAGCACTGCAAAACAGATGTTTTGTTTCAGTGGGAGAAAAAGTGAGTCCTGAGCTTGCAAAACTTACAGTGTAAAGTTATTTATTCACATAAGCATTTGCAAATTTGAATCTTTAGAAGATAATAGTTATAAATTGCCATTCAGGAGCTGGTGTGTAATATTTAAAGTACTGTGTTTGCATCATGAAAGCCAGTAGTGCTGGGACTGGGAAAAGAGATGGAGGAATGCAGCACAAGTATATAGCATGAACAGTGTACTTCAGTGTTTATGTATTATAGTACAGGCACCTTATGGAACAGGTGGGAAAAGAAGTGATTCCTTGCTGAATATTACTACACCTTTTATCCACCATTTTTTCTTTGACAGAAAAAAACAATTTTAAATGAATGGGACATAATTTGAAAGAGTCTTTGAAGGGGTTCTTTCTAATGAAACAGAAGAATTTAATACAGCTTTGTATCTTGCCAGCTGCAAAAAATAAGTGTACTTAAATAATTTTTTTCTGTAGTTTTTCTTTTCTGTAGCTCTTCAGTATTGCTCTCACATCCTATTTTAAATGTAAATTGAATGCGTTTTTATTTTGCAGAAGAAAAATCGGAAGCAGCAAAACTGGACAACACTCAGGAGATTGTAATAGCATCTGAAAAGTATGTGTGTGGGGTGTGGGGGGGTAATGGAAGCCCTTGACTAATTTCCTAGTTTTGGGTACTTGTTTTGGTTTTAGACCAAACTTGTATCTGATTCCAGACCTGAATTTAACTAGCCAACACAGTCTGCCCATCTGGCAAAAAAATCATCATCTGTTTAAACACGAAAAGGCTGATCAGACAGCAAAAGCCTAGAACTGAAAATAATGGAGTATGTATTTCTGCAGGAACTTGCATTATTTCAGAATACAGAGGCAAGGTGTCCGTGCTGTTTAGATAGTACTTTCTGTCTGCTTATTAAAAGAATGCTTTTGACATTTTTTGTCACTTCTTGACATAATCAGGACATAATGCTCTGTAGTGACACTGTAGGAACTTCAGTCTATTTGCAGAAACTGTGTTTTTTGAAAGGAAAAAAAAAAATCAACAAATAAACAGTGTTGTCCAGCTGCTTGAATGCTGGCACTTCTCTTGCTTTTTACTGTTTCTAAGGTACTGGTTTATGGATGCTAATAAAATTCTATAATGCAGTGTGAAATTGGGATTAAGGAGTGAAAGGAACTAGAAAGATCATAACATTTTCCTTGTCAGGAGTTTTGTGGGAGAATTTAAGTTCTTTTGAATCCCAGAAATTTGGAGTATTATGGATTTGGTAGTACAGCTCTTATTCGAATCAAAACATTTGTTGTTAAACTGAAGTCTAGGTACCCCTAGACTGCCGAGAAAGAAAATGTAACTGCTTTTTGAAAAGAAGAATACATTTGCATTTACCAAATTGGTAAAGGCATATGAAGTGTAAGGCAAAGGAGGAAATTGTCCTAACTGTGTATGTGTGATTCAGACTATTAAGTCAGCCATTTCTTTTCAGAAATAAGATCTTGGTATCACTGCAGGTAGTTATACTAAACCCTTAGTGATTCTTCTTGATCAAAAAGCTAAGTAATGGCATATCTGAGAAAAGTAGATAACAAGACAGGAAGCCTATTCTATGGTGTAAATCCATAGCATGCCATGTGTTGAACACTGCTTGCAGGGGTTTTTGCCTCATCTTAAAAACAATGTCATGTAACAGGAGCAGAAATTACTTACTACTCTTCTGTGTTGTACCAACTGGCATGTTTGTCTCTTCTCTTAATAAGGCAGGTGACATTCTGATACTTTTTTTAAAAAAAAAAAAAAAAGCTTGTTTTTAAACCAGAACACATTGCAGCCCAGGTTTAGAATGCAGCCATGCAAGGTGAGGCAGGTACAGCTGAGGGGTAGATGATCTGCAGAGCTGATGGGAGCAAATGACTGGGAGGGAAAGAGGAGTTCTTTTGCTGAAAGGTGCAGTTTTGCAGTTTGCTTTCAAGATTGAAAAAACAGGTGAGATAAGATGGACTGAACTGAAAGACTGACAGATGCAGCAGTTCCTCCCAAAAACTATGCTGGGGTGTATGGAAAACAAGGAGGTGACTGGTGACAGCTGACATGGCTTCACTAAGGGCAAATTGTGCCTGACAAATTTGGTGGCCTTCTACAATGGGGTTACAGCACTGGTGGATAAGGGAAGAGCAGCTGATGTCATCTACCTGGACTTGTGCAAAGCCTTTGACACTGCCCCACCTGACATCCTTGTCTCTAAAGTGGAGACGTGGATTTGACAGATGGACCACTTGGTGGATAAGGAATTGACTGGATGGTCACACTCAGAGTTGTGGTCAACGGCTCAATGTCCAAGTGGAGAGCAGTGACGAGTGGTGTTCCTCAGGAGTCAGTGTTGGTACTGCTGCTGTTTAACATCTCTGTTGGTGACATGGACAGTGGGATTGAGCGCACCCTCAGCAAGTTTGCTGATGACATCAAGCTGTGTGGTGCAGTCGACAGGCTGGAGGGAAGGGATGTACCATCCAGAGGGACCTGGGGAGAGGTGGGACCCTGCAAACCTCATGAAGTTCAGCAAGGCCAAGTGCAAGGTCTTGCACATGGATTGAGACAATCCCAAACACAAATACATTGAGCAGAGAATGGATTGAAAGCAGCCCTGTGGAGAAGGACTTTGGAGTAGTAGTGGATGGAAAACTGACTGTGACCCAGCATTTTGTCCTGGGTTGCATCAAGTGGTGTGTGGCCAGCAAGTTGAGGGAGGGGATTCTGTCCCTCTACTCCACTCTCGTGAGACCCCACCTGCCGTGCTGTGTCCAGCTCTGGGGCCCCCAACATGAAAAGGACACAGACCTGCTCGAGCAGGTCCAGAGGAGGGACATGGGGATGATCAGGGGGCTGGAGCACCTCCCTTACGAGGACAGGCTGAGAGAGTTGGGGTTGTTCAGTCTGGAGAAGAGAAGGCTCTGGGAAGACCTTTCAGTGGCCTTCCAGTACTTAAAGGGGGCTTACAGGAAAGATGGGGAGGCACTCTTTATTGGGGGGTGTAGTGATAGGATGAGGGATAACAGTTTTAAACTGAAAGAGGGTAGATTTAGATTAGATATAAGGAAGATTATTTACTATGAGGATGGTGAGACCCTAGAACAGGTTGCCCAGAGAAGTTGTGGCTGCCTCCTCCCTGGCAGTGTTCAAGGCCAGGTTGGACAGGACTGTGAGCAGCCTGATCTAGTGGAAGGTGTCCCTGCCCATGGCAGGGGGGTGGAACTAGATGATCTTTAAGGTCCTTTCCAAGCCAAACCATTCTGTGATGGGGAGAGACAAAATGGGAGCCTGAGTGAACGAAAGAAGATTAGGCGTAGCCTAACTCAAAAGCACTTAATATCTTTAGGGAAGAAAAAAAACCTTTAAAATCTTAATTTCTCTGTATGCTGAAGGGCCTGGTTGGATGATTTCATAGTCTGTTGATTTCATATAAGTCACTCACGGACACTTCTACCCATGTGTCAGGGAGAGATTCCTGAATGACATGTGAAATCTTACAAAGTGTAGATGGAGGTGAAAGCTATGTTTATCTAAAATGTCAGTTAAACCAGTTTTGATACGCTGTTAGGTATCTGCCTTTTACTTGAAAAAACTGCCTGTATTTTGCTGTCAGAGGTTTAGGCTGTCAACACACAAGGCTATGGGTTTGACTGCATGAGAGAAACGCTGGTTTGCATATCCAGATAATTCATTTCGTTTGTAACCAGGAACTATTTGCTATTTCTTCATTGCTTACTCTTTCCAGGAAAGACAAGAAAATAAAATTATTTTCTTTGATTCCTGTTCAGGTTATCTTCAAAATTGCAGCACCATTTTAAATTGTCTTCAGTCTATTCTCATTACTTTCCTGGAACTGGGATACCAGAGGTAACAACTTGTCACTCCCGAAGTGCTGTCACTGTGGATTATATTTTCTATTCTGCTGCAAATGATGATACTGCTGCCCAGCCAGGTAAAGAAACCAACTTTTAAATTATTTTTCACAAGTGCTAAATGGGAACATTCAGATTCTCTTGTAAGGGAAATGTAGTGATAATTTAATCCATATGGAGTACCTGAGAGGTTTATGGTAGTGCTGTGAATGTCAGCTCTTACCTGAAAAACGTGGCTGGCCTTGTCAACTCTCCACAGTTGGACTTGTAGTGCCAAACAGCGCAAACTTTTTCACCTGACTGAACGTTCCTGTAGCTGCCATCTCAGCATGGAGACAAGAGCTGAGACTACAGAGAAGCAGTGATGTAAGTAGCACCTGAGAAATGCTGCTGTCAGTAACTCCTGCAGGACCTTAGAGGCTAGACCTACATCAAAGCAGTATTTCCAATCATCTAATCAACAAAATGGCAAACGGCAGCTTATAATGTGCATTAAAATTAATAAATGAACTGCTTCTTAGAAAGTTACTTTTCAGATAGTCTTGATGTAATGTCTGTCAAATAAATGACCTGTGTGGCCTTTGCTCTGAGAGCAGTCACTGACACATGTCCAGTTGTCACTCTCTTGATTGCAGTTGCAGCTAAAATTCACCAGATGGTGCAAGAAAGACATGGTACCTCTGCGGGTGTATTGGTGGGTAATGCAGTGGTATCCTTTACTGCATTTTTGCTCTTTCCGTGGATACTTCTGAGCAGTGTGCTTTCCATATCATCATTAGTTCTGTCTTTTACGCTGTTTTCGCGGTCATTGCACAGTGCAGTACTATCAGATAAACAGCTCTGCAGAACTTAGAACAAGTAAACGTGAAGTCCACTCGTGCTCCCACTTAAATTGCAGCGGATTTTTACAAATTAATGTTGTTTTCAGTACATGAAATGAAAATACCACCTTCCTCTCTCATATTTTGAGACTAGATTGTTAAAATTCGTTGAGTCAATGCCCAAAAGTCTCATTCTTCATAACATGCACACTAAATGCTATCTTAGTGTAAAATATCGAATACAGAAGCTTCACAATACAAAAATAAAAGCTTTGACTGAAAAACTGGGATATGAGAAGTATCTAAATGACTTGAGTGCTGTGTGATTTCAGAGTGCGTCTGTCTGCAAAATTTAATCCTAATTCACCTGCTCATATATTTTTGTTGCACCATCATTGCCCCAGCAGAGCTATAGCACTTTTTTATTTCTGCATTTGTTTTTCAAATAGATTCTTCACCCCACATTCAGGACAGAATGTGACCAAACTTGAATTCTCCAAGTAATTTAAATTGGTGTAGTTTTTATTCATTAGTTCTTAGAAACTAAATAATAGTCTGGATCTTCAGTCTTCTGATGACTTGGGCCTCTATATTAAAAGTTGTCAAAGTCTGAACAAGTGAGTATTAAATGTGGTTTAGGCTGAGTGATCACTTTATTTTCCAATTAAAGGGGTATTTTTGAAAGTTCTCATGCTTTAGCCTATGTTATGCTTAGCCAGTTATTTGGGTTGTATTCAGGATTTGTTGTGAAAGAAAGGTTCAGTATCTACCTGAGTCCTGCAGGACTCAGTTTTGCTGGTTCTGGCATGCTCTGAGCTGACATTAATCACTACGTGCAGACCAAGCTTTCTGTAGTGACAAACTGCTGCTTTGCAGACATGCAGGTGGTGTGCCAAATGATAAATTTGGCTCAAGACATGGGTGCACGTGTGCTCTAGGGCTACTGAGACATCTTTGCAGTAAAAAAAGCTTTTCTTCAGAGCAGCAGTAAACAGCTGCTGGGTTGTTAGAGTACTGGAAAGCTGACAAATGGCAAATGAGTAAAACTGTTGAACTGTCTGAGGAGTTTAAGAGTTGCTGGACAAATATACCTACTGGTAAGCCAGTACCAGGTTTAGCCAGGAAGTTCTGAAATTGCTGATCATTTTCATACAGAAAACATTTTTGTCAAAGTTACAGCTGCTGTTTGTGCTGGTCCTGAAAGTGCTCAGCCCGCTCAGTCATCTCTCTGCTCCGAAAGCAATAGCTGGGGTTGCTGAATAGTCATCTCACTCAAGTAGATAGCTGAAGAAACTGTGACACATCACTGAAGGATCTCGTTCTCAATAGAATTTCTTTACCTGAGTTGGAAAAAGCTTGTTACTCTGCTGCTGCTGGTTTTCTGTTGTTTTTTTTTCAATGAGGACACAAATATTTTAAGTGTAACAATAAGGTGTGATAATAGCAAGGCCGTGAGTCACCTTCCCCTCATCCATGAGCAATGTAGTCTTTTGTGTGTGTGTGGTGGGGGATTTTTTTGGTGGTGGATTGTTTGGGTATTTTTAGGCAATTACAGGAATAGGTAGCAGGAAATAATGGAGGAAGATCCCTTTCTTATGATGAACAGTTAGGAGGGGAATCCTTGCTCATCCTTATGAGCAAGAGTTCCTGTATGACTTGCCTGCTGGAGAACTGTGCTCTTGAGGATACAGAAATCTCCCAAAAGATGCTTGATTTTGCAAGCGTCAGCTCTGTTTAGCAACGCTGTTGTGATACAGTATAGGACTGGATTGTGTGAGGCTTTTTCAGGGCAGTTACAACAAATAAATCCTTTCTGCCTCAATTTATCCCTCCACATAATGGAGGGGTAGTATCTTTAGGAGTACTTTGAGCTCTACTGATTAGAAGTTCTACTGTGAGGGTAATAGTAAACAAGAAGAATTTCTGAACTACTTTATTGGTGATTTTTGCATGGAACAGTAATGACTTCAAGATTATTTCTGCCATACTGTTTTACTCCTGCATATCTCTCTCTCTCTCTCTCTCTCTCTATATATATATATATATATATATATAATATGAATGTGTGATTTTTGATGAACATTTCCACTTTTTTTTTTAACCAGGAGCAGAGGATTCTTTTCATGGAGGTCTGAAACTTCTTGGCAGGTTGGCCCTTCTAACAGAGAAAGATCTTTGGACTGTTAATGGTCTTCCCAATGAAAATAACTCTTCTGACCACCTGCCATTGCTAGCAGAGTTCAGGCTTATTGAACGGTAATATCCAAAGGACTTTTTGTGTACGTAAAGTTACCTTCACCTTCTCTCTTCATGTGATGATGATTATTTTTTTAAAGGTTAATTCAAGCACTGCTGGTTCGGCTTGAATAAGTTTGCATGCATGCTGATTCGTTAGTATTGTGTAAAGTAGACTTTTAAAAAAGACTTTTTTTAAAATGTTTAAATTACTTTATCAAGTCTTTAAGGCAAAAAGAAAAGATTTTACATTAGCTTCTTCTTTGATAATGGAAAACACCTGTGCCAGCCTCAAAATGGCTTTATTTTTCACGGAGATGCTCTAAATGGTTTTTATTGTAAATCATAATAAAACTGATTATTCTCTGAGAACTGTGTGCTTCTTCAAGTAAAGGGGAGTGAGTTTGTGTGCATGCCACACTTTATAATGAGCTGAAAGGGATGTTCTACTACAACGTTGTGCTGTAGACACTTCTATATAAATACCTCCCACAAAGGAATTTTCTTTTACCTAGAGTGTAGTCAGTGCAGGAGCTGCAAGACTGGACTTCCGGAGGAGGAAGATAGCTTTGCAGTAAGGCAAATATTTGTTCTAAAGTTAGTACTTTTAATTTGTAAAAGCTTAAATATAACTAGCCTTCATTGGAATCTTTTTAAAAATATCTTGAAATAAAACCAAGTTTAATGAGTATGAAAACTTATAGGAAACTTAATTGACTTACTCTGGGGAAGAAAAATCAGTCCTTGACATCTTGAGGCTTCATATATATTGAGCAACTGGAGGAAAGTTTTCTTCCATTTAGTTAATAAAATTTCAAGTTGTATATTGCCATGACAGATCCTGAGGTATTAAATGATGAAGATTTTATATTTACTCTTACAATGCACTAATTCTGGAGAAAATAGGATTTACAAATTAAAAAAAAAAACAAAGACTACCTGAATAGGAAACTTGCAGGGAGCCAAGATAGCTGGAAACAAGTCTTGTAACTTGGTCAAACTACATATGGATATGTATGTAAAAGAGACTTAAAAGTAACACTTAGAGAATTGTCTTTCAGTGTAGTGCTGGAAAACCTGCCCATCTTCCTGAAATCATTCAGATGCATTTTTCTCCCAGAAACACTTGTTTGTTCTTCTCTAACCTTAGTTTTGGAATTTTTACCTGGGTTTCCTTTTCCTGACTGCAGAATTACAACTGCAATTACTTTGTGCTTTGAGAATAATGCAAGAAGTAGAGTGGTAGTAATCACAAAAACAGTTTAATCAAAAAAGTATTTTGGTGTTACACTGAAAAATATGACTATCAAACCATCCATCTTAAATTGCTTGGAATTTGAAAGGGGGCTGTTTTTCTCATAAGAAATTGTGACTTGAGGCACTTTCCTCTACTTGTTATTAACAGTCAAGGCTGTAACTGACTACCTCTTCAACCTGGGACTCTATTCACATACTTAAAATCATCATTTTTACAACTGGAGCTGATGGATAGATCAACAAATTTCTGGTAGATACTGGTTACAGCTGTAGCAACCTGTATAGCCTGTGTTAAGAGCAAGGAGTTTTGCTAGCCTGGAGGACTGCATGTTGTCTCTACTGCAGAGAGAAACGTGGACTCAGCTTCTCCAGAGCACTGCTGGCAGAGAGACTGCTGTAGGGGAAGGTGGGTAAGAGAGAAGTTCTCTAGAATAAGCCTTAACTTGAGCATCACTTTTCATGCTCATCTAAAGCCTCACTGCCAACATGGAGGTTTCATATCAATTCTTTTACACAGAGCAGCATTCAGGCCTGTCCAAACACCTAGTTACTTAAAATGATGGTTTGAGGCTTAAGTTTTATGCTCCTTTAAAAGAAAATGCTTTGGACTTGCTGATCAATGGTGTCCATATTTGGCTTGTATTCAGATAGTAGATTCTGCTCTGACATTTTAAAACAGCCAGATTCCTCAAGGTAGTAAAGGTGGCCTTCTGAATAACATACCCCACTGCCCTGGTAACCACATGAAACCACTGAGGCAGGAAGACAGTTGTTCTACTTCCTTAGTATGTGTTATTATTAAAGAACTATAATAATTTGCTTTCCTTTACAAAAGCCAAAACTGTCACCTCAAGCATTTTCTCCCAGTTTGATGACAGTAACATGGGGAAAAGACCAAGGTACCACTGAAAGAAAAAAGCAGAAGCTGTTTGACGTGATTCAGTCATCAGTGCTGCTAGTTCAGGGGTGTTTATTGTTCTATAACAATGTATTCTCAGGGTTTAGAGACTTGCTTCAGTCTGACTTTAGGTAACCATTAATGTGTTATATATAGGGTAGGTTTAAGGTCTTTACATTAAGTGCTTTCTTTGTAGAATAATAAATGAGGTAAGTATTTAACAATCTTTTTTAAAAATCTGCTTTAGTTTGTTTAGTTTGATTTTAGAAAGGGCTTAGACCTTTTCTGGAATAGAAACCTGGACACAACAAAAAAGGACTCCAAATCATTAAAAAAAAAAAAAGACTACCATGATATTTTATTGAAGTTTCATGCTGTGCATAAACATACAAGTGATTAAAAAAACAGAACACCATGCATGTTTTCTACACTATTTGACCACTCTGCAGTAAGTTAGAAGAGTTACTAATAGCCACACTTAAAACAAATGCCATCATAAGCAAGTTTCAGGAGAATATTTCAGCTGAACTTCAAAACAAGAACCATTTGTCACACACCTCTACAGCATTAAGAAGTTGCAGTATACGTTAGAGGTTAAGAGATAGTAACACTAATTGTGCTGGACAATGGTAAAAACTGTATACCAACCACCATTACTTGAGCTGAAGTAAACCATGGTTTCATAGAAAAAACTTGCAACATATCAGATAACCTTGTGCTATAGGATACAGCTGATCAAAGTAAGCTTTTCACATCATTTTACCCATGAGAAATCTAAGGAATACATGAAAAAAATTGTTCAGGTCACAACACACTGAGCAGCACAAAAAACTTTAAAACCAAAACTCTGTGGCTGATGTCAAATTACACAAGAATTTCTACCAAAAGAGTGTTTCCCTCTCTTCAATTTCAGTCCTGAACAACAAAAAGATTCCTACTGCGAACACAGGAGTGGGAAAGTTTGCAGAAAGAGGGATGGGGAAAGCCTCCCTGTAATTGATATGGTAATCTTATATAAAGAAGTGTAATACATTTGAATAGTCTTTAGACCTTCTGAAGTTTAATCAGTAGAAAGCCTTTTACTGTTTGTAGAAGGTTGCTGGGTCTCAGTGTTGTCTTCCTGTCCTAGGTAGGTGAGATTCATTGCTCAAAAAAGTCAGTGAGGTCTGTGTACAAGCAATCATCTCCTTCCATATCCATTCAGTTGCTGGTTGATATAAGTGTTCTAGGAGCTTAAATCATTCAGTTCAAGTAAGCATTATTGTCACTGTCTTACAATGTCCTATATTCATTGAAATTCCAAAAAAGTAATGGCCCCAGAGGGGAGGTACAACAAGGCCCATGGCAGTATCATCTATAAGCACAGCACAAAGGGTAGAGGCTGGACTTGTACAATAATCCAGTTTCTGTTTAGGCACCTAATGAAATACGTTCAACAATGCAGCACTCAAATGCTTCCAGAGAACTTCACTAATGCGAGTGGCGGACTCCAATGAAAGTCTTACCGCATCACTTGAGAACGCTGCTGTCCACCACAGGTCCTTAGCTAAGCCTTAGAACAGGACTGAGTAGGGAGGAAGCACACAAGCTTGATTTTCAGCTATTTCAGACATACAGGCTTCCTTATTCAGGTATGACTAAGCAGTTGATACTACAACACATACAGGAAAAACTCCCTACAGCAGCACGGCAGAAGGTTAACTTCAGCCTGCAATGTCTGATCTTAATATAAGATGTCAAGGCATGATCATCTGAGACTGCTCAGCCTTTCAAAGACAAGGTTCAAAGTTACACACAAATGCTGAAAGAAAAGTAGATAGACTCAGGTTAGGAATTCTGACATTTTTTTCCATTACTCCAGGAACATATATGAGAAAAACAGACCAATAGGTGAACACTTGTCTCTACAAAATGGCAATCTCTACATTTTGTGCTTCAGCAGTGTAGTCCGGAAAGACTAAAAGCTTGTGACAAAGTATAAAAAAAATTACGAAAGTTTAAAAATCCATTATTCATCAATTATCATCATTTTAAAAAACCAAAACCTCATATCTTGCCTAATAACACGTCAATGTTTAAGAATACATTTGCATATTACTATTACTTAACATCTTTCAGCAACATGCACAAAATAATACAGGTGGCAGTAAAACATCCAGTGCTGTTTTAATACTACCAGAAATGCTGGGAAACAGTACAAATTAGTTACAAAACAATAATACTGACAGTTTTGCATATCTATTAAGTTTAGTGAGGTAATGTTGATACTTTAAAAACTCACGCCACTTCTGCACTGCTTGTTTTTATTGCTGAATTAAATATTAATGCTGAATATGGGGGTTTTTTAACTGCACTGCACCCTAGCACATCTTAGCACTAAGAATATGATTTCTTAGTTATCCCAATGCTACTACCCTGCACAATGCCCAAATTCAATTAATATTTGTACAGGGAAATTATATTTGAAGAAACTCTCACACCACTGGAGTCACCTGCTACATGATGGAGGGAAAAAACACATGTGTCCTGACAAACCTCATTTTTTAGGTTCTCTTCACTGATGCCTTTTCTGTAAATTGAAATAAAATAAATACTGCCACCAAAACCAAATTCCCCCCCTTCTATTTCCTAGGTAAAACTTTTCTTGTAAGAGTCCACAAGTTAATAAATAGTCCCATTCCTTTTTCCTTCCAACGGAGTGCAGGTAAAGTGCAGCGGGAAGCACCAGGGAAGCCCTCTGTCCGGTGTATGGCTTTGTTAGATGCGGAGCTGGTAGCCTACCTCGTTGAGCGTAGCCAGCTCTCCTTTCTTGTCCACCACCGCAGGCCTGCGAGCAAAGGAGGGAAGAGGGCACTGCTCACCAGCAGTCCCACACTGCTGTGCCGGAGCGGAGAGAGCAGTTGTCAAATCGGGAACAGTTTACTTCAAAATAGGACTGGTTAGATCTAATTTTCTCATCATAAGCACAATCCTGCGTATTTGTCACACAAGCTCGTGTGACCAAGCTCCTCATGTGGGTTGCCTCTGAAGCCAAGCACCAGCAAAAAACAAATTGTCCCATCCTGGGGTCTGTGATCTGAGCCTGGGAGCACAACACCACCCCCGCTCCTGATTTGAGAGAGGGCCTAAATGAGTAGCTAAGACTAGACATATCCCTCCCATGATCTACCGCAGAGCAAGACTCTGGCCTTTAGAATAAAGTGGAAACAGCTGTTTGTTTGTGAGAGCAAACAGGCAAGGCCTCTCACATGGCCACAGCATGTTTGTCCCTGAACCTGCCCTCTCCCCCTGGCTAGGCCTGTATGAAGGGCTAGAGCCCCCCAACTAGAAAACAAAAGATGAACTCCCTTCAGTCTCCAGGCATCTTACATTCCAATACAGTCCAGCCGTTCACTTGAGGAAGCACACATAAATGACCTAACAGCATACGTGTAAGTGTATCAACAACCTGAACAAAATGAAACCTTGCGACTGGACAATCAGTCTCCCCCTGCTTAGCAAGAATGAAAGAGCTTCTGCACCAAAGTAGTCAAACCAAAACAATCTTGGGGATTTATAGTCTATGGAGGTATGTAACCTGAGTTTAGTTCAGGCTCTTACCTGTTTTCCCACTAAGGTGATGTTTACTTTTCTAAAGAAAGATATTGTTTAAAATACACGTTTCTCCTCGTAGATGCTGCAGCATGTCCGCCTCACTGCAAAAACACAGCCAAAGCCCAAGTAGCACAATGTAAAGCTGCTAATGGCTCCAGTGCTTTCCTACAGCTCCTCAGACCTGATTTCCAGCTCTTGTGCTTAACTCTTCATTCATTATGCAGCAGATGTGACCTGTGATGTGCCCACACCAGGATGGCACTTACCTAGTCATCACACACTGCCTGCCCGTTCCTGCCGACACGGTCCTGGGCAGGCAGCACGGCCAGGGGAGGCGCAGCACGGAGCAGGCAGGCTGTGAGGCCAGGGACAGCCCTGCCCTGCCTGTGCCACACTGCTGGGTGCAGGCACCCATCTAAGGGATGTACCGCTGCAGCCCCAGGAGGTGGGGATGTATAGCTTACACATACACACAGCCTCAGAAACATTTCTGAATTCTTTGATTCAGTGATTTTTATTTTTTTTTTTTTTTAAAAAGCAGAGCTGCTAACACCAGATCTCTGCTGAGAATTTGCACAGCCTCTAAGAGTGGGTGACATTGCTATGGACACCTGATGCTCTTCTACCTCGTCACACATTGAAAACAACCTCTTTATTTGCCATTTATCCAAGCACCTCTATTAATAACCCCATCATCCTCTTTCCAGTACTGCCCGCACCCTGCCTCGTGTTTGTTTCTAAGTACTTCACAGAAGTGAAGTAGTCTTCACTGGTCTCTGTCACTTGCAGGAAGGGATCATGCCTGAAGAAATGATTGTAAGATGCTTTGGATTTTTCCACTTTTATTTCTTCAGAGCAGATGGGATTTGACTAGCCAGAAAACGAGCTACAAGCTGCATCCCTCAGAGCTTGCGTAGGAGTTGGAGACCAGCAACAGATGCACTGCATGAAGTTTCCAGTGTCCTTCCTTCCTCCCCTCACTCACTCCCTCAAATTTAGGGATCCGTCTTCCCACTGTTTTCTTCCTCCCTCCCTCCCTTTAATTAAAGCCAGAATATGGTTTTAATTAAAGCATGCCTGAATGGTTCTACATTCCCTGATTATCCAAGAGAGATGGGGAGTCACAGCACACCCATGGCGACATGCCCATTTCCACTACTCCATGACAACTCTCTAGCTTGTAGCTACAAACAGAATGTCCTCCATACGGTTTTAGGAAAAGGCAAGGACTTGTTGGAACAGAGGCACCGCAGCCCCTATTCTGCTTGGCTGGCAAATGACCTGACATCAAACATCCCCTCTGAAGTGAGGGAGCCGTGCTGTAGTGGCCCATCAGATTGCAGCTCCTGTCCAAAGTGCCGTGACGATGAACAGATGAATACGCTGTGCATAGCTGCTGGGTACACAGTATTCATTAGATCTGCCTGATTTTTGCACATCCTAGTATAATCCTGCCCCCTTGTATATCCTAATATAATGGACTAAGAGAATTTTCCTTTCAACAGTTAAATTAGGCCAGACACAAGGCCAGTGTTACTATGACACAGCATGCACGTCTTAAACCTCAGTATAAAAAAGAAACAGATCTAGCCAACTGACGCTTAAGAGCAGAGATTGCTTCAGGCTGCCGCATGACACTCCCTTCCAAACTCATATCAATTCTCCCAAACGAGCACTTCTGTTGAGGATGAAACAATGCGTTGCCTGTTCCAGCATGGTGGCTTGCAATATACCACAGCCGCCTCCTCTGGGATTTCAGAGGATGGACAAGTGGACACAGTAAAGCTTCAGACTTACTAGAAAGATTCACACCACCCTGTATCCTCTTTATTCATCCTGCCTGGCCACCCTTAGCAGGATCACACCAGCTGTGGTCTAAGAACACATGGACTGTTACATAGTTCAGTGAATGAGCTGCAATTTAACTACACACCCGTCTCCTAGACTGGCACATACTGCTTATTGCATTGCCACCCATTCCCTGCAATGTACCCTGTCTGCCTGGTAGCTGTGTTTCCACACTAAGACACTATCATGGGCTTGCTAGCAGCCACCACTGGCATTTACCTAAGAAACTAGTAAGGAATCAGGATGAGAAGTTAAACGGCTTGAGGCTGTAAAATGCAATTCAGTCCTTAAGCACCACTTCAGCCTTTGTCCTTCAGAAACAATCCAGCAAAGACACTCCGGTTCACATATTTTTCACTGGGAGATTTCTCCCAGCAGGCCCATATAATTTTATTGTTGACAAAACCCCGGCTGTAATAACAGCTTGTCATCAGCAGGTGAAGCCTCTCAAACGAATGTGTTATTCAGTCCCTGCCAGCTCACACTAGAGCAAAACACTTCTCTCCCCCTCCCCTGCAAGCTCTAAAAAGCTGTAATTACAGCATGTGAGTTAGAGATCCACAAAGAAACAAAACACAGTGTTGATAAGCACAGCCATTCTTTAGCTAGGATTTCAGCCTAGCAACCCTGAAAGTCTTTCTATGTGTAACACAAAGGCCTCTCACTGCAACTAGGTTCTCAGAGATCCATCAACACATAGAAGAAAATAACCAGTTTCCCCTCTTGTATTTCTCACCCCATCAACCACTGTACATGCTAGTATGTGTCATTCAGCTCATCCCTGATGAGGGGATGCCATTCCCCCTTCAGGTCTCTGAAATGCTGGGGTTTCAACCCCAAGCCCCAAATTAAGGTTGACATATGGGTGATTCCCACAGCCCTTCACAAAGGGGTGATGAGTTTACCCTTAGGCTTCCCTCCAGGGTGCGGCCGGCCTTGCAGGGAGAGCCATGAGGGAAATGAGTCCCAGGTGTCCCACATTAAGTTATAAAGGGTCAGGTGTCCCACTGAGGGATAAAAGCTGGGACCACTTGCAGGAAGGGGCAGTGTCTGTCTGTGAGGTGGAGACACTGTGCAGAGTTCCCTGTTGGGGAAGGACCTCCTGCCTCCCTGGGATTGGGCTACAGTCAGGTCTGGCTTTTGTAGACGTGGGCTGTGTAGAGATTCAGTGTGTGGCTTCCTTGGAATTATGTGTTTGGCTTGTTGACTTGGTTGTCTCCCATCCCTTCTATGGGAGACTATTTCACCATTTATTCCACCCATTGTTGGTCGTGTGGTGGTGGTGTTGTTGAGGTCAGTGGGATTGATGTTGATTATATATATCTGACTTGTTTGTACCCCCAGTACTCACCCATGTGCTGACCCTTTTGTATCAAATACAATTTGGTTATTGGTTCATCTTTATGCTGGCTGTGTCCTCTATGCCAGGCCTAGTAATTGGCAAAACAGTCTTAGACACCTCATGTTGCAGAAACCAGCTGATCTCAATTTTGGAAATGGAAGGGTTTTATTATCAGAAAGGAATGCCCTACAGCAGCAGATGACTCTGCAGCACCGCTCCCACTGGGGCAAAAGGCAGAGTCAGCCTTTGAACCACCAGTGCCACAGCACAGAAGCATCATTTTAACATCAAGAATCTAGTTCTTCTCCCTGGCATCACTCTTCTAACAGAGATAGCCTCTTGGGTCTGCTCGAGGGCCCTGGACTGCCAAAAGCTTCTTCGCTCCCCTTCCAAGCATACTGCCCAGGCTTGCAAGGGGGCTGTGCATGACCCGCAGTGCTGTCACGCAGCCACAAGGCATGTGCTGCAAGAACTTCCACCCGCTCTGAGATGTTTCAATGCCTTTTGCCAAAGTGAAAGATGGAGGTCTTGTGTGTGGAGTCTGCTCTTGGTCTCCTGGTCCCTGCATCATGCCATAGCTGGGACCTGATCTTGTATCATGGTGACCCAGGGTTTCTTTCAGAATAACATATAATTTGCTCTAGGCACAGAGAAACACAGCAGAACCACTGAGCAGGTGGTGAAGCCCCTGTAAGGCCACCAGTACTTCACTTGTCTTTCTGTCCTAGAAAAGCAAAGCTGCCAAGGAAGAATCAGCCACTGCAAAGCAGCCACATGCCCAGCAGCTCTCTCAGGAGACCAGCCCAACTGGCAAGTCTCCAAGCCAATCAAGACATACATCATCCATTCCAGCAATTGCAGAAGCACTATCAGAAACCCAAAGATTAAACCATCCCTCAAAGTGAATCTAAGAGGTGAAGAAGCCTGGAGCAACTGAGCCCATTACAACTATAATTACCCATGCACTAAACAAGGAACTCTCAGTGATGAAGCCCAAAGTACAGCATCATAGACTGACTGTGAATTCACATGTAAAAATAAAAGCATGCTGTGAAATCATCTGCTGCTAAAGTATCTTGAAGTTATCTTTAGAAGGTTAGTCTAATGTCTTTGTTAGCTGCTTTAAAATAAATAAATAAGTGCTGAGACAGTAGTCTGGGAGCCTATTTAAAAAGCGATAACCATAAATAAGTGACTAGTCTGGGTTAGGTATAGGCTTTCACAGTTGTCAGCTTCCTGGCGTGAAACAGTACAGCTAGAACTCAACTCTTCCACATCTAAGGTATGGGAGTGTGACTTGCCAGTGGCTGGAAAAGGCCCAGGATCTGGAAGCTCGGTTTTATCCATTTAGAGGTATTGCATGCAATTAGTCCATCTTTCCACACACAGTTCAACTATTAGCTACGCACAAGGGAAGTGGTCTGGGTTTTTTTAAACTGATTAAAATCAAAGAATACCATGCAAGTTGTATTTCTGTTCTGACAAGAAGAGAAAAAGTTTACTTTTTTACTGTCCCTGTAAGTCAGACAGTCCTCAGCAAAACCCACTCTCATCAGGACAGTTCTATATACAAGGGCTCATCACAGAGAATCCAGTTTCTGTCTCAGTGACCATGACAGCAGGGCACTCCACCACCAATAGCACATACATCCTCCCATTTTTAATACCTGTCTGAACACCCTTAAATCCGATCAAACTACCTTCCCTCCTGTACAGGTCCCATGCACACCAGGCTAGGTTAATTCCTCCAGAAAGTGGACTGTATAGAGACTGAAAAAAGAAAAAGCAAAACCCACACTTCCAACTTCAGTCATCCAACACCTCGTAGAACTGAAACAAGCAAAGGCCAGTGGCGCCTCCAAGGACACTACACAGCAGGGCCATGAATGGGGCAGCAGTAAGCACAGCAGTGCCAGGACATCAGCAGTACTGGCAGCTTCTGGAGCCTCTCTAGTAAACGGAGATATCTGGTGCAGTTTTCTATATACACCAGTGAGCACATGTAAGTTTTGTACAACAGAACGGTATGTCATTACCCTCTATTTCTGACCCGTCTGTGATGGCAGCCGGAATACTCACGATTTGTCTCTTCTGCACACTCGTCTCTGAGGGCTGGCTTGCCTTCGGCGAGGGGACAACGACTTACCCCGTGATCTCTCTTTCATAGGAGAGTGGGCACTTGAGGGTTTCAGAATCTGTGAGAGATGGGGGAAGGAAGGAAAAGGCATTCAATAAAGGCAATAATTCACCAAAAATAAAAATAAAGAGCCTCATACAGCAGTAGGGACAGCACACAAAGAGACTTCAATCCCTTGAGGCTTATTCAAACTCTGCCCAGGTTAAGAGGAGCCCAAAGCTGTTATCATGTGATAGTTGTTCTGGGGCTCCCTGATAAAATCAGTTGGCATCACCAATTCAGTTCCCAGCTAAATACTGAAAAGAGGTCCCATTCACAGCTCTCTTCAGAGCTGGCAACAGCAAGAGATAAGAAAAACAGCTTTGAGCCTTAGCTGAAGGAAACTCACACAGCCAAATCTCCCTCTCCAGCTTTCCTCTCCACAGAGGTTATTGTCTCCCAGGATGGCAGTTGAACTCTCTGTGTCAGTGGGACTTTTCCGTAGGTCTCCAACTTGCCTGCAGTCCCCAGGCCCTCCAAGCTCAGAAGACCATCAGCACAACACTCCAGGCTATTTTTAAGACTTGATCCTCCGAAGTCAGCCCCCTCACAGTGGAAGCCCTCTGAATCAAGTGGCTCAAATTCCGAATTAACTCAAGGGAAGAGGCGGATGTAGGGTCTTCAGCCTTCAAGGGTTCAGAGCTGTGGTCCTGGCCCTGAGGCACTTACAAGGACTGGACCTAAATGTCACAGCTCAATACACAGACAAGAGCTGGTCCCTCTATCAAAAGCAAGTACTAAGTTCAGTAAGTCATCCACCCATAACGACTTCTACAGCTAGAGCCTGCCTCAGCTGTTTGCTCTCTAGATGGTATTAAAAATGCATGAATAGAGAAGAGAGGAAAAAAAAAAACCCACCTCACTATATCTGTAATCAAGCGCATGTGATTAAGGTGACAGTGTGGTACAAGTTGGCGCTCAAAACTCCTTGGCAGGGCAGGAGAGGTGGCAGCAGGACATAAGGGCTATGATGCCACTGGTGACACGCATTCCAAGGTCAGGGCAAGGGGGCAAGGGCCTCAGCCAAAAAGGCACACAGCTGCTATGCAGGAGCCATTCCTCAGCAGGGCAGGGGATGGGAACCCAGAATAACTTGGATGCGATGCTGCATGCCTCTCCACGAGAGCCAGCCCTATACTTAGCAACACACCTGCTCTGCTCCTGCTGCCAGCGGCGGGTTGGAAAGGCACCAAATCCCCTTCCACCGTGACCACAACCAGCTCCTTGCCCATGCCAGCCCCAGAGGCACGGTCAGGGACACCCCTCAGCCCCAAGGGCAGCCAAACCCTCCAGCCTGCCGGCAGCCTGCCCTATCTCGCCATCATTTCCCTCTGGGCTCTTCAGTCTGACCAACTAGCAGAGAAGTATCAGCCTGTCAGGGACTTGCTCTCCTCATCCTTCCCATGTAGCCTACTTTGCGATTTGGCCAAGGGTGGTGGACATAAGGCAGCGCAGGGCAAGCCCACCGGCATGCCCCACAAGGAGAAGCAATCATTGACACAGCTGTCCCATGGCATCCCTTGCCATGGTGCAAAGAGTAGAGATCCTGCAACCAGGCCACCCACCCCACCAGCCCCAGCCACGCTGGTTCCACCTAGCCACCTTCTTCCGCAGTCAGTGAAAAAAGCAAACTGGGCAACAGCAATTTGATGGTCAGGGTTATAGTGTTTCCTAGGCTGAAGGGAAGATCCTTGAACCAAAAAATAGCTTGAAAACACACCAAACCCTGTGGGAGAATCACTGAGACAGATGTAAGCACACCCCCAGTCCACCTGATACCACCTTAATCTCAGGGCAGGGTCAGTCTGCTGACATGGAGCTAGACCAATCTCTGCAGGATGGGACAAGGTACAGAGCCCTCCGACTCCACCACCCAGGCACATGGACCTACCTTCATCCTCATATCCCTGGCAAACTTTTCCAGCTCCTTCCTGACTTCTGTGCGCATCATTTTGGATACGTTGAGGACCAGCTGTTTCCACTCAATGGGCTGAAAGCTGTGCGGCTCATGTGGGACATATAATCCGATTTTTACTTTTTTGACTGTATGCAAGTACTTTTTATAGGAGTCTTCAAATTCAAAGATGAGGTCGCTCAGAGTTCGGTAAGTTAAAGGTTTGTCCATCAAATCTGATCGTCTGCTCATGCCCAGCGAGCCATAACGGCCGTTGCAGTAAATCCCGAGCACCACATGATGAAAATAGTTCCCTGAGAAGTGGGTTTTAAAGCTGATGGGAAAGCGCTCCACGGAGGGTTGCCCGTTTGTTAAGTATCTGGTGTGCACTGCATTAAGGCAACAACAGCACTGGGAAGGGAGCATGCACAATTACACCCATAAGACATCTTTAGCAGGTTTTTTTAACTGACAGGGCAAGTGCTTTCTTGCAACCACAAATTTATTCTCACTGTGCCCCAAAAACAGTCAATGCTGCCAGAGCCCATTTCAACACTTGGAGAATAAGGTGCAATAGTTCATGCAGGGCAGGGCCTGACTCTTAACCATGCTTGAGAGGGAAAAAGAAAAACCACAACAGTGTTCAGGTCAGCACACCAGAAGAGAGACCACCATCCCCAGATCTGTGGGAACCCCCCCATTCGATACCAACATCAAACTCCCACAGTCCCAAAAGGGAACAGTGTTGAAGCTTGATACAACTCAGATTATTGATCTTCCTTTTCCCACATCTTCAAACAGTATGAAAAATCCAGGGTGACAGTCTGCCCTTCCATCTGTAAACTGGCCCTCGGCACAGCCACTCCTCATACAAGAGTGTATTTGCATGTCGCCCTTGTAACGCGTTGCTGACAGGAACCAAGTAAAGCTCCCAGGTGGGCAATTAATTTGATAAGCAGAGACGTGGTCAGGAACAAACACTTTTAAAAAGCAAAACATGTCCCCTGAATCACTGGCTAGCCACTTCAAATGTGCCACATGCAGAGGCTGGGGCCAAGCTCCATAACATTGTAGTAGGTGACCTCAGAGGGGAACTATGTGCAGGTCCCGGGTCATCTCCTCAGGAGGCTGCTGGCTCATGCCAAGGGGAGGGGAGACTGAGATTCCCTCACACAGGCGGGTTTGCGTCAGCACCTACGTTGTACGTGGCTCCCTGCTGCTAATCCCCAGACAGCTGGAACTCACCCTGGCTCCACACGCCGACACTTGGCCCCTGGGTGACAGCAGGCGCCCTTCCCTGCTGCAGCTGAGACCCCCACCCATGCCTGGGGAACAGAGGAGAGATGACCAGAAAAGGCTGCAGCAACACACTCCAGCCCGGGGTTACTCCAGCCAGAAGCACCTGCTGTAACGCCAGAGCCATTCCCAGAGGCAGACGCAGCCAAGACAGTCAGTCAGCGTGGTGCCACTACAAAATACACTGGCCCAAGGGGCAGCACTGCCTGGATAGCATCAGGGCAGCTTGAGGAACAGAGGAGTGGGGTCAGCTCCCACTGGAGCTGCAGGAACCAGCTCAGACCAGGGTCCTGCTCAGGGGATCTCCAGCATGCCCTTCTCCCCCTATCACATGCCCAAACAGGCCTTTAACAGCAGTGAAACAAGAGCCACAGCACAGCTGAGATGTCCTGGGATGTTACTGTGGCCGCCTTCCTCCCCCGCCTGCATAGCATGGCTGCTCAACAGCTGCTGGGAAAATGAGAACACAAAAAGCCTTTTGTACCAATATTGTAAAACACAATTAGGGCTCGGTTCTTATTCTGCTCTCAGTCTAACACCCCACCCCATTACCAGTGCAACTCCCTGGGATGCTGACCCCCTGCCTGCACTCCACATTTCACCCCTTGTCTCTACAGGGATGTAGGAAAAGCATCCAGTGGCTCTCATCTGCCTCTAAAGCATTTTCTCAACGGAATATTTCACCCACCTGACGCTTGTTGAATTTCATACATTCAAACTTTTGCCCTCCAGGTGAACACAGAAATCAGCTAGTAAGAGATTCATGAACTGCCCAGATTCTGAGGTCAAAAGCAAGAAGTTAAACCTCTGTACAAATAAAAAGCAAGAAAAACACACTGGCAAAAATATTTCAGAACAGCCACAGAGAAGCTTTTTGGTTCAAAGTCAAACGTATTTAACTGTGTTCAGTGCTAGATGTCATCAGCTTTAGCAGTCTGGAGAAAATGTATTAGAGGGCATAGGAACAGACAACATTACAGGCCCAGGTCCTGGTGCACTTCACCTGTACGACAGTAAGTCTGGGCGAGCATGCAAAGCAGAGCACAGAGCGCTGCCACACACACAACCCCTTGCCCAGCCAAGGCTGCATGTGCCCACCTCTGCCCATCTGCTGCCCCACCTACATCAAACACAAACACCCCACAACAACTGCCAAAGCTCACCCCGATATCAATTACACCAACATGGAACAGAAATAGCTGTACCGCCTTCGCTGGTCTCGCTGGATCACTGTCACATTAGGGGCCAGCTTCTCCAAGAAAAAACCCACACCACTGCTAGAATTAAAGGTTATAAATACACTGCAAGGTCAGAATGGGGCCCAGCAACGTTATAGCAACGGGAAAACTCAGCCCACAGTCACCTCATTTAAAAGGTCACCTTGCTCCAGGCCTTAAAAGGAGCATCCTGTGTACATCAAAGTTATGTTACAATAATTTGTATCCTACAGACAGATTCTTGCAGAAGCCCATTGTATTTATCATTCTGTGTAACTGAAAAAGCAGTATCTTTTATTAACACCTATGAAGCTTTCAAACATCACCACTATTTTTCCCCCTCATTATGAAAGGGTTTTCTCTCTGCTCCCCGAGTGCCTTTCTATTAAGTCCACACAAAGCTTTGGTGGCCACCTGCCACACATACACACTTCTGCCACGAGGTCTCAGAGAAGTTGCAATTTAATCTCATTAAATACTAGGTAGGAGTAAAAGAATCTTTTGAGGATGGAAATTACCCACCATCAAATAACCCAGCAACAACCGCTGCGGAAATTAACCTTTAGGTACAGGTTGCTTCTGCTGAGTGACTAGTTAATGAGAGTCTCCACCCGAGATGAAATACACAGCAAATGGGCTGGAAAGGCACGTCAGATCTTCCCCGCCATCCATGCATCATTATTATTTCTTTTCCTTTCTGCTCTGCCCAAGGAGAGCTGTATTGTGGCAAACAAAAGGCAACGACACAGCAATGCCGCAGCTGTAATCACACTTTTGAGCTGGGACTGTACTGCAGGATGGAGAGTCGGGGAGTAAATTATGTGCCACAATAGAGAAGCAGCACAGAGCAGGAGAGGGCAAAAGCAGCTGTAACGAAAAGCTCGGTGGCCTCCCGATCCCAGGTCTTCGTGTAAATCAAAGCAGCAGAAAAACAGCACTGAGGGCTGCTGATCTCCTTGGAAATCACACAAGAGGGACACTAATCTTCTGGCCTGCCACCTCTTGCCCCCATACCTTTCCTCTTACCCCACACTCAGAAAATGCACAAGGACGATACCTAGCACTTCACCAGGGCCTCAGGAATGGGTTGGTATGGTATGTCCCCATCACTCCAAGATTCCCAAACCCTGCCCACCCTGACTCTCAGTTCTTCTGCAGCCTCATACTAGTCCTTCAACCTCAATTTCTTCCATCCCAGAGAGACACTAATGCCTGCCAGCCAGGGCTGCCTGTATTAAGCAGCTGATGAATTCTGCTCTTTCCCCAGGAGGCTGATTTTGAGAGACAGGTTTGTGTCAAAGGAGTGTGTGAAGAATTGGGCCCAAAGCATACAACATGCTTTGGAGGTGACAGGCCATTGGGGTACACCACTATGGCTCTATTAACAAGTAGGTTTTCTTGTGCACCCCAATACTGCTAGCAGCCTGCAGAAAGGACCTCATTTCCCATGCGAGCATGCAGCTCCCTATGGATCTGCAAGTCAACACAAGCACACTGCCCTCTGAGCCACAGGTTGTTGTGCTTCCCATAGTCCCATTGCCTTCACCACCCAGGCTCATGCACAACCTAGCTTGGATACTTGGGAGACATTCAGATGCCAGACTCAAATACAAGCAAGACTTGGGACACAAAACCTGCACTCTGGCTACCACCTGGACATTCCTGAGCAGTGTGGCAAATGAGGAGTAGCATCCTTAGTTCAAAAGAAAAGGGGAGAATTAGTTAAGGTGTTACTTGAGTCAACCCCTTCGCTTTAAAACTCTGGAGCAGAAAGCATCTGGATGGGTTTTCTTTAAACCTGCACACTCACACAACGACTCAACAAATACCCTTCTGCAGATTGAAGTTGTGTTCTTTTTCCTCCACCTCCTGGTGAACTCTAATATCAAAAACATCTCACAAAAGTCCCACCATCTTCCCCCCAAGTACAGACCCTTCCCTACATAGGTGCCCCTACTGCAGAGCACAGACCAGTTCACAGCCAGAAGACAGACTTGAAGCCCTTCACCTTGTTTATTTGTCAGCACCGACTTTTAGAAAAAGTGTTCTCTCTTGGTTTTCATTTTTTTCTTATTAATAAATAATCAGAGCAGGAATGTGTCAGCACTGTCGCCCCAGGCTTTGAACGTTTCTGGAAATAAGTCTTAGCAGCTGACAGTACCTGCCAGACGGCAGCTAGCTCCCTATGGGTAGGTGAGTTTGGGTTATTTGCCACCAGCAGTTTTCCCACCAGTGCTAGGAACCACAGGACAGGAGGGGACACGCTGTGAGGACCTCAGCCCACCTGCGTCTAAACCAGCCTCAACAGGAGTTCAGCTGTGGGAAAAAAAAAAAAAAATGGTGCTTTTGCAAAGCTAAGAGGCAGCAACTGTGGAAGGGGCAGGTGAGGAGACAAGTGCTATCTCTGCATCATGCCCCTGCCCTGCAGCACCAACAGTGACTCAGGCCCACAGAGACCCCTGGGGCAGGGGACATGGGTAGACCCCTCCTCCTCGAAGCCCTGAAGGAAAAAAGCCCAAACGTAAGACAGTGCACCAAGGCCCTGCAGAGCCATCAGCACCTGAAACAAATCAAGACATGACTAGGTTTCAGAGAGAAGCGCCAGCATCAATTTTTTGACCAGAGCAGCCCACCAATACTGATTCCCAAGCACGTCTAAGCATCCAGCTGTCCCAGCACCCAGACTCACAAGTGCTTCCGCTTCAGCTGCGGGAAGACCCAGCGCCACGTCTGACACCTTCTTGGATGTACCTGCCAGGAAGGAGGAGCAGGAAGGAGCAGCCCAGGTCTCCAGCAGTGATAAACATCATCCACCAATTAAATGCACAGAAGGTATAGTGCAGAAGCTATTCAATAATTTCTCCCTCCCAAAGCACTTCTGCTTTCCTCTTCCTCCTTTAATGATATTATTGGACAGGGGAAGATCTAATACACTACATGGGTCTGAACATCACCTCACATGAACTGGGAGAGGCATACTGAAGGCAACGGGAGTGAGTTATGTTCACCTGACATACACGCTCTTGCAAGACTCCCTGAGGATGGATGCACCGTGCCACTTCCCTCTCCTCCCTCTGATATTTTGCTTTCCCCATTTTAATAAAGCGAATATAGCACAGATAAAATTCCCTTGACACTTTTGGTGTACTATTCCCAAATACAAGTCATTTGAATCCTCGATCAGAAAGAATGGGCTGAATACACCATTACTCAGCTGATCTACAATTGAACAGTGAAATGCCCTGGGGAAGACAGCAGGAGGAATGCCTCTGGTTAGGCACTGACGTGGTAAGCAGAGAGATACGAAGTCAGATCAAACAGCTACACAGAGAAGAGCCATGCAGATTGCTGCAAAATAATATCGGAAGATCTATATGAGCTTTCAGTCATCTCACAGCTGCTGCTCCCTTGGTGCATGCACACAGGGTAGCTCAGTATTTTAACTCACTGACCTATAAAAACGCTTCAAGATCTAGTGTGAAGGCAATTATGCAAAAGTTAATTCTGCACCAGGAGGGATTACAGAAGCATTTTATAACAAGTCACATAGTAAAAGGCAATTGCACGAGCCAACAAGCATCTCAATTAAAATGACATCTTGCTAAGCTGCTCTGTGCGAGTCGGCCTTTGAATGAAGGCTCACGCCAAGGGTCCACTGTAGTGAGCTGTGCTCTTTTCAGTATCCAAGCAACACGGCAAAGCCTGCCGGCACACAAATTAAAAACAGTAACCTTATTTCCAGAGACAGAGAAGGGAACCTGAGGTTAACACACATATGCAAGGATGCTCAGCTCAGGCATATGCAAAGACATCGGTTTGACACTTGGGAGAGGGTAACGCATCTCTTATCTGGTAACTGTCTGACCTCAGAAAGCGAGTCACAGCTGCTGGCCTCACCATGTCCACATCCAGAGGGCAACACTGAAGATCAAAATCCCCTGCCTGAGAAAAATCAGCAAAACTTCCCCATGTGCTGTTACAAAGATGCCTCCCAAAAACCCACATGGTGTACATGCAGCACAAAAACCCACATGGTGTACATGCAGCACGGCACCACAAGGTTCTGCACGAGCACAAGCTTCATACCAGCCACTTCCAAATCACACATATTCAAGACAGCCCATTCACTCACCACTGCTACGCTCTTTTTGTATCCACACCTCAGTCAAAATACTTAGATTTTATATTGTGTGGATCTCTTAAACTTCAACACATCTGTTACTGCACCACCACCCCAGAAGATAGCCCTGGTTCTCACAGGAGATTTCCAAGACAGCAACTAGAAGTCATAGGAAGACAGGCTTGTCCCATACCCTCCCCTACCTAAAGCTTTTCAATTAAAATTTTCCATAAACTTTTTTTTAAAGTAGCAACTAGGGACAGAAAGATTCATCCAAATCTTAAAAGTCCAAAGAAACTTCAGATGACACCAAACAGTATAAACCATAGCTTTCAAATATTTTGCTTCCCCCACTACTCAAAAAAATAGAACAAAAATCAGGTTTGAGACAAGCAGAAAAAATCCTCTTTTCAAATGAAAATAAAATGGTTGAAACTTCTAGATCAGCAAGAGTACATATAGATTATAATGGTCATCTGTATGCCACTAATCACCCTCCACTCGTGTGGTATGTGGAACAATCAGTTCAGTGCTAGAAATACAGTACCAGAAGCCATACTGACACTCTCCAGTACTGCAGAGGAGCATCAACTCCACCTGGGGATTATTTTCCCATTCCTTTGGTCCCCAAATAGTTTAGGACACAGCCCTGACACAAGGGCAAACACAACAGATCCACTGACACCATTTCTGTTTCTGGGAGGGCATCAGTTTGAGTTTGTTGCTGACATCAAGCCCCCAGGAGCCCCCACCCCTCTAGCTTCATGCAGACCCTGCCAGCACATGCAGGGGAAGCCCCATCAGTCAGAGCCCCCCCATTCAGACTTGGACCTGAAGCCTATCTGGGAGCAGCACCCGGTGCGCCCCACACACCCCCTAGCACAGCAGGGACCGCAGCCAGCAACCTGTCTCACACACCACATACTTCTTCAGCCCACGTCCCACTCCCACCCCACAGCAGCCACCCCTTCTCACGCCAACACCAGGCACTACCTGCCAGGCTCTGCTGGCTCCTTCTTCCACGAGAGGGGGCAGCAGTAGCAAGTAAAACGCCGCAGAGACAAGCCAGAAGCCGGTTTGCATCGGGGTTTATTTTGGGTTGGGTTTTTGTTTTGTTTTAAATCAAACTTGATCAGCTGTGGCAAGACGTATCTGGCATACAATTGTTCCTGTAACCCTGCCTTGCCCTCCTCTGGTGTTTTAGGATGATGCAGGTTGATTTATCCGTGACAGCACAAGAAGATCAAGAAACAAGTCAGTCTCTGAATGTATTCTTGGATTTTTTTCTGAGATGAATAGGAAGCAAGCATTTTGGTAAGCTCAAATGTTTAACTATAATACACATATGCTTCTGCACAAAGCACAGCTGGGGACTGAGAGACAAAAACTAACGTGACTTTACGTGTAAACATTAGACAAACATAGGACAGAAACTGTGTTCCTCAGGTGTTACCAACAGATACTTATCTGGGCACTTTGGGTCAGATTCTGACATTATGCAGATTACCAGGGCAGGAGGCAAAGAACTCACGGCCAGAGCACGATGCTTGTGAGCTGGCACATGGCATCCAAACTCCTACTGACAAGCCTAGGCAATTCAGCAACTTGTTTGTTGATCGATACCACGGCACTCTCCGAGCTGTTGGCACTCACCTTTGGCTGTGACCACCTCAAACACCATCCACAAAAGGCAATATATTAAAGTGTCACAGTGGAAAAAGTCACAGGTATGTGAAAGGATACATCCCCAGGATAACTGCTTCAAGGCATTTGATGGGTAAGGACTCCCTGGTCATTTCTTTTGCCGTCTCCATTAACCTAGGACAGAAACAAAAATGTTTTCAGCCCTTTCAGTTGGACCAGTTGACAGGAATCAAAGGGTCCTCTCATACACCAAAAGCCAGGAACCTCCAGTTCTTATCTCAGCAAGCACTGGTGAACTTGATTCTTCCTTCAGCACCTTGCCAGGGCCCTCTTGACTTCTGGAAAATTACTTTAAAAAAAAAAAAAAGACAAAAAAGACATCCCACTGCTTTCCAGCCTCTGAAGACGGGTTGGAAGAGGAATGCAGTCCTCTGCTGCTCCCAGCAACTCTATGAACATCACTTCAGACTGTAACACAAAGCCCTGCTGAGCCGCAAAAGCTGGCAATCATGCAAGCTCCCACAGCAGGACCAAGTTTAGCATATTTTCAAAATAACCCTGACTCTCCTCTGCAAAAAACAGGGGAGAGAGGATGGTTACATGATCACTGCCTGAAAGCTACAAATACCTCTGTGAGCCTATAGCTACAGGTACAGGCAAGAATTTAATGCCTCTTTATCGAAGCCTGCTCTGCAGAAAGCTCTACCAGCGCAGACACTTCACACCACTGCAAGCTGAGCTACCATTTGCTGCTGCTCCCCACCTTTTGTGGACTGGGAAAGTGGTAAAAACTGGAAACTATGCATGCCCAGGATCTTGCAAGTTCACAAAGTTCAATTACAATTCAGACTCTATATTTGGAGTAGAATTATCTGACAGGGACTAACTGACAAGAAACAAGCAACCTAATCTCAGCTCAGCTGAGAAAACTGTCATACCAGATTGACACCGCACTACCAACCAACTAGGTATCCTATCCCCTTCCACAAGCAGATCCTGAGATCCTGGAGAGTTTAAAAAAAAAAAAAACAAAACATACCACACCAAAAAACCCAGAAGGAGATTAATAAAAAGAGTCATATTCAATGACACACCAAAAAATAAGTTAAAACCAAACCAAAGGATGACTTCTGTTCTGAAGTCTTCTCTATCCATATCCCTTCCCTGAGAAGAGCTTTGTAAACAGATCCCTACTCTAAGGAAACACAATATTAAGTGGTTTAAATATTTGTATTAGAGAAGATGATGAAAATATGCATTGGAAACCCTTAGTCTGTTTTTCCCACTTTCTAATTCACCCACCTCATGCATTTTAAACCTCGTATTGAGTACAAATACAGCTTCCACCACTATTACAGCCTGTCACAGCCATTCCATGTCCCATTTATCCAACTTAGAAATTATCTTTTCATTTATAAACAACCACCCTTTACACTCTGCCTGCAATACAGAAGACAAATTAGAGTTAGCCTGCCTCCTACACGTTCACAATCAGCCACAGAAATCCCACTGCTGGAAGCACAGAGCTGCTCCAGTGAGGGCGCACAATGGGGCCCCTTCATCCCCCACAGTCGCTCCTAAGTGCTGGTCACAGCAGTAGCTGCCTCAAAGCCCTGTCTCCATCCAGAGAAGTATTACATGCAGATGATGCATGGGAGGTATCCATGAACAAGATGACCCACTGAATTTCCCATCTTCTAACTTCAGGGGAGTTAAAAAAAAAACCTCACAGCTGATTATGAATGCACATCAGAAATGGGGAAAAAACTCAAGTTTTAAAGCTATTTAGCTTCAAGCCATTTAGTGTGGTGTGTGCCTGGTGAACATGGTCCGAGGTTCAGGGCCAGCATCTCCTCCCTAGATCTACATCTACGCTGACCCCGCTGCCAGCTGGCAAACACAGTAACCACACTGGAGCTGCCTCGTCACCACATGCAGCATCAGGTCTCCTAACACCTGCTTTTATAACCTCACTGCTGTCATGATTTCAAGGTGCTGTCAGCATGGAGATAACATTAATGGCTCCACAGCCAGGGAGGGAGTCTTCAAAGTAATTGGCCTCAATAAGCAGTCAAATTACTACTGACTTATGTGTGACAGCAACACTCACACTATTTAAATACTAAGTAGTATTTAACATGCACTCTGTTTGCAAGCCACATATGCGTTGGTTCTGAAGCACAGCTCTCCAGGATGTTATATGGTTATAAAGGAAAGGCATTTTGCTTAAAAACATGCTGCCTGCTAGTGCACAGGCACCACAGCTGTCCCTTCCAAAGCTAGTGGCAGCCCTCCCTTCCCTTCACATAGCATCATTGGATAGGTGGGCTCAGAAGGGACCCTGGGAAGCCCTCCTGTCCCACCTCCTGCTCAAAGCACCCAAATCCAGGAGCTGTGACAGGTGCTCAGCGATCACCCTGAACCTGGCAGCTCAGAGGTGGCCACAGCCTCCAGACCGTGACAGCGATGAGGATCTGTTCAAGGGGAGCATTGGTCAGGAGGCATCACCAACAAGAAGCAAACAGGCACCCATCTGCACCCAGAGAGCAGGTCACGCCCTCACACACATCCATCCCACAGTCCTGGGGAATACTCTGCAGTTAGTTTGCTTTTTCTCTACATTTACAGCACAGGCCACAGGGTTTACGTGGATGACCCAGTTCCATAGGCACTAAGAGTTTTTCTCATGCTTTTAGCAAGTTTGAGATGAAGCATGGCTTTGAACCCAGTGTCTGCATTGGAGGCAGAGCCTTTGGAGAATCCCCAAGCCACCACTCTGTCCCAGGTACCATAAGCTAAATCTAAATCACTTCTCAATGATAATTTTCCAGCCTACTTTTAACCGGTTTCTCAAAGGCTTGGAAATGCACCAGTTAATCTATCATATACTTAACCCAGCATCTAAGAAGGTCCCCTAATATTTAAACTAAATCTTTCCTTTTTTGCAATTTAAATCAGAAGCTATTTCTGCTGCAGGCGTGGAGACCATTTATTATCTCTGCTCAGACATTTGTATATGCAACAGGCTGTAATCTACCCTCTCCTCCGTAAACATAAGGAAGCAGACAGATTTATTGCTTTTAATTATTTTTTTTTAAATTCCTCCCTCTCTCATCCCAAAGCTTCCCCCTTAGGTCATGTTTTCTAGACCTTGGGCAATGTTCATCGCTTTCCTTTTGGACTCTCTTCAGTCGAGTTGCATCTCACAGTCCTTCAACTAAACCCACCATACCACAATACAAACAGACCAATTTCTTTCTGAATCCAACTTTCAGTATTTATTTTTGACCAACCCAGTGTGCTGTTTTCCCTGTTGACCCACACCAAATGTTTAGTTTTTTTGGTTGGTTTTGTTTTGGGATTTTTTGGAGATCAGCTCCTTCTTTGAAAAACTAGCCTCTCATTCTCCACTGTGTATTCCCACAGCTGGCTATTCCCAAATCCCTCCTCTGCATTTCCTCTAATTTGCCTCCTGTTTGTTCCAGCTGTCTTACCCTTTGAGATCACTCTGAATTCCAATTCCAGCTTCCAAAGCCTTGTCACCTTGTCCAGCCTGGACCACAGAGTCTTATCTATACCATTCATGAAAAAACATTGACCTGGGACAGAGATTACACACCTCAACTGACAAACTCTGCTAGGCAACAGCAAGCTATCAGTTAAGTAACACTTTCTAAGTGCTGCTTTTCACCAGGTTGGGTCCATATGTTAAATAGTTTTATTTATAACCGAGGTCCCTGCCTTACCTGGAGGCTGCCAAAGGCCATACTAAAGCAAAGAGTTATGTCCACAACTCCTCCCTGATTGACAAAAGCTCTTACACTCTCATAGAGGGAAATTATCAGAAAAAAAAAAAAAGGTGTCAAACTAAATTTACATCGCCTATCACCTACCCTGAAACTGCAGATCAACTTGGAAAGTTCCTAGATTTATCTTTTCCCTTTTTTTTTTTTTATCTTTGCCTTCCCCAGTTTCCAACAACAGCACCCATCCTCCCCACAATCTCTAACAGAAATATTAGAGGTTTAGAGGTTGCTTGCCAGTCACCTAAGTGATCTAAGACAAATGACTGAGCATCCAGCTCATCTGAAAATAAGTCATTACAAGTGTTCTTTGACTTGTCCTTTACCTATTTTCTTTCACTGCTAAATTCTTACCGTGCTGTCTCAGACATTAATCATGATCAGAAAGTTTGCACAGTTAAACTTGTAAATGAAGATTTAAAGAATCATGGAATGGTTTGGGTTGGAAGGGACCTTTAAAGATCATCTAGTCCAACCCCCTACCATGGGCAAGGACACCTTCCACTAGACCAGGTTGCTCAAAGCCCCATCCAACCTGGCCTTAAACACTGCCAGGGCAGGAGCAGCCACCACTGCTCTGGGCAACCTGTTCCAGGGTCTCACCATCCTCGTAGTAAATAATCTTCCTTATACCTAATCTAAATCTACCCTCTTTCAGTTTAAAACTGTTACCCCTCATCCTATCACTACATCCCTGATAAAGAGTCCCTCCCCATCTTTCCTGTAGGCCCCCTTTAAGTACCGGAAGGCCACTGGAAGGTCTCCCCAGAGCCTTCTCTTCTCCAGGCTGACCAACCCCAACTCTCAGCCTGTCCTTGTAAGGGAGGTGCTCCAGCCCCCTGATCATCCCCATGTCCCTCCTCTGGACCTGCTCGAGCAGGTCTGTGTCCTTTTCATGTTGGGGGCCCCAGGGCTGGACACAGCACTGCAGGTGGGGTCTCACAAGAGTGGAGCAGAGGGGGAAAATCCCCTCCCTCAACCTGTTGGCCACACTTCGCTTGATGCAGCCCAGGACACAGTTGGACTTCTGGGCTGTAAGAGCACATATCTGGGTCACAGTCAGTTTTCCATCCACTAATACCCCCAAGTCCTTCTCCAAAGGAAGGGCTGCTCTCCATCCACTCCTTGCCCAGCCTGTATTTGTGCTTGGGATTGCCCTGACCCATGTGCAGGACCTTGCACTTGGCCTTGCTGAACTTCATGAGGTTTGCAGGGTCCCAGCTCTCCAGCCTGTCCAGGTCCCTCTGGGTGGCACATTCTTTCGCTCCAGCCTGTTGACCGCACCACACAGCTCAGCGTCATCGGTGATCTCACCTGTGCTCAATCCTGCTGTCAGGAAGGTGGAAAAGAATTAAAAAACAGAGTCAAGCATTTCAATTCCCTGTCTGATCAGGATTTGTTTCTGGGATCTTCTTTAAATCTTTCCCTTATCTGAAAAGATTCCACATATATAGCTAATGCAGTACTTCACAGTCTTGTACCACATATCGCTGGGAACCCAAAGCTACCCTCTCCACAGATTCTAGTGAGCACAGGGGCAGCCCACCTCTTCCAGTAACTCGAGGGAGACTGCTACAGTCAAGAATAAGCAGCATACAGCTTTCCTCTTTGAGGCATTTGCACCACTAGCTGAAGTCTGCCAGGCAGATCTCTATTCCCGACCACAGTGAACACTTCTGCCTCTAACAAATGTAGCCAATGGGAACAGGATGCATGCTCCTCCCTTGAAATCTAGTCCTTGGCAGATGGTGATATTTCCTTTCTAATTCACTCAAATTTCTGTCAGTGTTTTCAGGACCCCAACTGGATTAGCTCCCTTGCTTTCTGCATTAAGAAAGGGCCTGTAGAGGAGTTGATTTTGCCTCTTTAGGATGCTTTCTGTTTAAAATAGCAGTATCTGCAGACATCTTGTGGGAACCATGAATTCCTTTTGCTCCCAGATTTTCCACTGGGGCACCCAACTTCACATACAGGTTAGAAAAAGCTTCAAACCTTTTAGCATGCCCCAAACTGGAAAATCTCACCAGCTGGCACCCATCATGCTGGAGTCACTTCAGAGATGACCATGCTTAGGAGGAGAGGTTAACCATTACCTTCAACAGAAAGATTCTTACAGACGTCAATAAAATTTATATTAGTGACGTTCCCCAGCATGTTTTCCACAAACGTCTCTTTCCCCAGGCCCCTGTACTTCCATAAGGTCCATAAAATCTCCCTCTCCCAAGTATTTTTAAGGCTCCTGGCAGTTTTATTCTTCCCAATGAAGCCAAGATAAAAAGAAGATCAAACAGCAGAGCAGCTACTGCTCTCATGAATCTTCTCAAAACCAGTTTGTTTCAATGGCAAAAGCACTTTTACCACATGCTGAACATAGCACCATATATGTAACATTCTCCCTTTGTGCAAGAGAGAAGCAGATGTTCAAATGCTTTCTGTAGTATATTGTCTGGAAATGGTACGAGCCCATTTTTCTTTACAGCCCCATCAGGGTTCCTTAATAACACGGTGTGTTGAAACAGTATTGTTTTCCACACCCCCATTGCTGTTATTTGGTTGCCTTGTTCCCACATGACTGTTTCTATCGCACTCTCTTATTGCAATTGATTACCCCTTATATCTGCAGTCACTCCACCTTCACTGAGCAGACTCTGAGCTGTAATTTCTCAAAGCCCCCCAGAACCTACCCAAACATCAGTTTTGCTTCAGTCATAGATCCCACTGATCAGCTGGCACTTAACTGGAGGGAGCATACAATACCACACCTATCTACTCCCTCCCCAGATACTCTGTGAGGGCAAAGATATTTGTTCCTCATTGTGGCTCATGCCTGCATCCTAGGATAGAAGCTTGCAGAGGGCTTATTGCTCCTTGTAAAGCAAGTAAGAAAAGCCTGTTGGTATTTAATTCACAGTTACAGATGCTACTAGATATCCAGAAATACATTTTTTTCTAAAGCTCTTACAATATCTAAGCTTGGAAGTTTAAAAGAATGGCCACTTCAGTTAAAAGCACCATTTTTAATCAGATCAGTTGTACCAACAAAAGCTGTAATATAGGTTTTGCCAGCATAATCCTGTATGGGAAAAGGAAAACCAGCCCTATCTGTGCCTGAAACAGTCATATCACACGCATACACATGTACCATGGATCAGTAGAGCTGAACTCCACAGGGTGCCTTTTACCTACCTAATACAAAAGTACATCAGGAAGCCTATGTGAAGGACACCATCCCGGGTCGGGATAACTGTATTAGCAAAGCACTCCTGCAGTGGATGTACCTACAGATGTAAATCTGGATTTTGTGCAAATACAGCAAACTCAGGCAAAGTTAGACACAGACACATTTTCAGACGGAGTTTGCCAGTACAACAGGAACGCCACAGACGGTGTGCAGGATCACATCTCTACCACCCCAACTCACACAGCTATGCCAACAGAAATCTAACATTTTCAAAAGTGTTATCTGTAGTCTAGACAAATCCACAGGGTGTCTGGCAGTCTAGAATTAAGTTGATAACAGTGACTTTTTCTTAAGAGGGATTATAAATGCTGAATTATAGCAAGCCTGTGTCCCTTAATGTTATGAGCTCCTGTAGATAATTTATGCTCATCTTCCTAAGTACAGCCACGCATTTTTATTTTCTCATGCATCACACTGATGCTGACAGAAAATCTCAATAATATCTAGTCCTCCCTCCATAATAGAAAAACTCATTAATATGCCCCAGCTGCTTTAGGACACTTTCACATGAATTTATGAATATTCAATTTCCATCTAGTGCTCAGCTTCTTTGTGTCTGGCCACTGCTCTCTTGAAGAGAGGCTGCCAAAGATCTCATAATATTTTCATTAGCTTTGAGCCCTCATATTACGAAATAAGCACTATGTTTAATATCAATAAATCACAGCTCTGGGAACAGCCTCAACTTTCAAGAGCCAGTGGCAATTGGGAGGCACTCAGCATGTTGCCCGATGAACTTGCAAATACAAACTTTGTCTGCAGCAAGTAAGGCCTTTCACACCACAGAAACTTGCTCAGATCAGCATTTGTCACCACACTGGAATCAGATTTCTTGCAAAGTGGAACACACCTTCCAGGAAAAAACTTGCAGGTGTGGGCGATTTTTCAGCTCTGATGAAAACTAGCCTGGCAGCAGGAGAACAAACGGCCAAGGACAACTGCAAAAGCAGATATCCTCAGCTGGCACGAACAGCCACACACTCCAGATGAAAGGAGAGCCTTCAGAGACACTTCCACATTACAGGGCCATCAACACGTTGTTGCCTTTCTCAGAGTTGGAGAAACCAAGACAGGGCAAGTGCTCAAGCCCCTCTGTAGTATGAGAGGATCTGGGCAGCTAAGCATGCTCAGAAGAGCTCCACTACTCCTAGCACTCCTGTCCATCAGGCCAAGGAGCAAAGCAGCACAGGTCTTAGGACTTAACACTGTGCAAGTCCAGTATACACAGGGACAGGCAACTGTGTTGGCAAGCTGGCAGCAGCTGCCCCAAGGGATTGGACCATTTCCAGGGGCACTCTCCTTAACTCTGCAGAAGTCCTGCCACCACGTATCAAGTCACTCACAGAAATCCTAACAGCAACAGAACAAGGAGAGCAACCAGACAGAAGTCCCCAGGCAAACACTAAGGCAGGTAAATAAAGGAAACAGCACCACTTAGGAGAGGATCCAAAGCCATGGGTACATCTCCAGCTGCGAGCACTATATTTGTTCCCTTCCAGGAAAGAGTACCACCCTCATGAGCCAGGAGTCCCATCATCCAGCCCAGGAGGATGCCAACCTTTCAAGTGGTGAGTGCTGAACACAATTCATTCTCATCCTCTGCTTTCTTGGAAAAAAGTAATGGAACAAATTTTAAAATGAGTGACCAGCCTGAAAAACTGGTTTAAGCTTCTGTAAACCCACCTATCATTCAAGGCACAAGATTTCTTCTAAATTAGTTCCACCAGTACAGTGAACATTACATAGAGAAAGGAAGTGGGAAAGATTGCTGTCAACAAGATAAAAACGTGAAGCGCAAAGCTGGGATGGGAACTGGAATTTACAGTGACAGACCATTAGATTAATGACAGACAGCTGGGGAGAGCTAGAGACAGGCCAGTCTACAAGAGTAATTATATTCCGCTTATCTAAATTTCACCCTAAAATAAAAGCATGTTGTCAACATCAGTTTCCACCGTAACCGTAACCTAATTTACTGGGTCCTATTAAAGAGCTGTCCTAACTATGAAGCAGTTCTTACATGCAAGGGATCCCACCTCCCTGTTGCCAGGCTCCCTGTGCACGTGTTTGTATTTGCATTGCACAATTCATTGTCAACCAGCGCGATGCGAGTCCTCAGTGTGGAAAGAACAGCAAGATGAGCAACAATGGGAAAACCACAGCTCAACTCAAATGGTCCGTTGTGATCCTCCAGGGGAAAGGTCTGCACCCAAGACATCGAAATTCCTGCAGCATTTTGCATGGCTGATCTCTTCCTACCATTAGCAAAGGGCATTACAGCACAACCAGAATATCAGGACTTACATAGTTTCCATAAAAACAGCCCAGCCCTCCCAACCCAACATCAACAAGCAAGAATTGAGAGTTTTCCCAGCCCTGTGCATTCAGCTTTGGCCTGCAGCTATGCAGCTCCCACATGGCTGCTGAGCAAGACCAGCCCTTCCACTCATTGGTTCTTGATGGATCCATTTGCCATCTGGCAGCAAGCTGGGACCCTCCTTACAAAGGCCGCCATGGCACAGAGGAGACAGCCCTCCCATGTCATGGTGCTACAGTGCTTAAATGCCCAAGGTAATCAGCTGGCATGGTGTAAGACAAGGGTTACAGTCCACTTCCAGAGACACTTACCCGCTCAGAGGTCTGGTTTTTCTAATCTCGAAGAACTGTGTTCCTGTGTGATTGTATCTGAAATTTGTCTGTTAAAGGAAAGTAACTGGAACAGTCAAACAATAAAATAACAATGATCAAAAGGTGAATTTCAGTTATGATTTCCTGCTGAAACATAAAACAAGCAGGAAAATCCATTGACTCTCAGAGGTTAAACCCTGGCATGTGAAATAAAGCAATTTTTTCACTTGTCTTTTTATATGACATATTAACACATTAGGTGTAGAGTCAAGCAAAAAGGTTGTTAGTCTAAAATGACACTTAAATTTGGCATTTCAGGGTTATGAATTCTCTTTTCCTCTAGGTCACACTCACTATTGGGTTACAAGTTTGAAAAAAGTCTCCCATCTGGACAAAAGAAAGATTTTATAGTCTACCCAAACCTATCAACAACATTCATGGTTTGAAAGAACTTACTTCCCTGCTAAGTTTTTAACTCAGTCAGTCACATAGCTCACATGACCCGTAACCAAAAACATGGCAGGTGCACCCATTTACGCCTAGGAAATAAAAAACGTTCTCTAAAAGACACAATGAACTTGAAATGGAAATAACCAGCTAAGTGCAACTAAAGAACATCAGTTAACACTATGATCATAGGAGAAGAGTTCATCACAAAGGATGACAGCAGTCACCCATCAACCAAATCTCAGTGCCACTTGCCTAGGAGTACAAGCTACCATGCAGCAGCAGTATCAAAGCAGCCTTTTCCAGGCTCCTTGAGCATAGCTGTTCAAGCACTAATGCAGTAAATCAGATCAGGAAACCAACCTGTCCAGTAAAAAAAACCAAAATCTCAACAAATCAAAAATTAAAAAAAAAATAAAATCACACCATCCTTTTACTTTTGCTTACTTTTGTTCCCCAGCCTAGTTCCCAACACAGCCATGAGAGCATTCACGCCAGCAAAACTGTGGTGCTGATACCTGGGCAGAAACAGGTGACCCTACAGAGGCAAAGGGCTTGTGAGGCATAAATAGCACAGCTGCTGGCTGTATAACCATGGTCTAAATAAAAACTCTAGCACGCACCAGGATGCTCTGAACCGACTTCAATTAGAGTTCAGAGTTCTCCAGAAACGAGGCTTTGCTTCCCTTCTGCCTTCAAAACCTAATTCATGAGGCCCTTTCGGAGTGCTCTGAACAAAGCATACAGGCTCTTTTAGCAGACCCTATTCCCAAGCCTACTTTGAAGCTTTTCCGAACTCAGATCCAAACCCCATGCCTAAGGCCCACTCCTGCTACGTAGCAGAGTGTAGGATTTCAAAACCACTGGGGGCGAGGGGAAGGGAAATACAATTTTTGGAGCTCCATGCGACATGGTCTCCTCTCCAGCACAACCCCCCCTGAGCAGTGAGCCTCTCGTCCTGCCCAAGCAGCCAACATGCAGACAAGAAATGCGCCATCCCCCTGCAGAGCAGGCTGGCCCCAGCCTCCCTCCCCGCGGCAGCTGCCGTGGCTCCAACCCCTGCTGCCGCCTGATCCCAACCACTACTCCCCAGCAGGCTAACTGCGCCTGCTATTTTTGGATGCTCTTCCAGCTGCCACCCATATCCGTTCTTAATCCTTAACAGGACTTTACATTCATTCCTCATCCCCACTGCTTCCCCCCCACACGTACACACACAAAAAGGGAGAGCTTAGAAAAAACAGAGAGAAGAGCAGCATCTGGGACAGCAAACCGTCTCCTCTGACATCATCTGTCAGCAATGGAAACAGTCAGGTATTAGGCACGAGGCAGCAATAGGGAAGCTGGGTAGATGTGTACACCTCTGATGAAGCCCCCAAGCAAGGCAGGACATCTGGAAGTGGGCATTCCTTTGGTCAGTTCCTGTGTCACAGGCAAGCCTGCCCACCTTGGGGTCAGGAAAGCTGCTTGACCCCCACCCCAATGACAAGCACTCCCTGCAAGCTGAGCACGTAGGCAGTCAGATAGGGAGCCTGCAAGGGCTGCCAGGGCAGAGGAAGAAAAGGTTTGCCACAACATCAGTTCTCCCTTAGTCCCTTTATGATGAGGTGCCATATTATTTCCCCAGGCATCACAATCCAATCATAATATCCTCATAAACCAACTTCAAAATAAACATTTTTACTCCCACCAGTGTCACTTCAGTTTAATTCTTCAGCATCATTTAAAGGTAATTACATCCCCCAGAGGACTGCTGTGACAAGTTCAGTGCTGCAGGTGCTATCATAAATCCTTAGAGGTGTCCTTTTGCCCCCAAATGATCCCAAGCCCTCGTGACCAGCTAGTGCTTTGGTAAAGCCCCTGTTAATTCATGCTGGGCACAAGCCAGCCTTCTCTCTGCAGACCACATGCTGGAGAAGGATACTGCAGCATCTTCATGTAGGTCTGTATTGCCTGGAGCCACTCTGGGATCGACATGGAGAGCTTGTAGTTTGGCACTGGCGGCACCGAGGGCTGGACACAAAAAAAAGATAAAGAGGTTAGACAGTTACTGGTCCCTGCAGAGCGGATAAGTGATTGACTTGGTCAGCAGTATGTGCTTAGTGCCACACAACACAGCAGCACAGATGGCTTAAACCCCACGTGAACTCAAGCATCAGACAAAGTCATCCCACTGACAACAGGGGCTGCCCATGCACCAGAGCCAGCCCCATCCCTGCTGGCTTAGAGAGCCCAGGGCAGGCCCCAGCACGGCAAGCTGCTCGTCACAGCCACCGAGGTCCCTCAAACAGCACCCTACATGGGCAGGTAGTCCAGCACAGAAGGCCAATGCTTCCCATTTTTCCCCTCCAGCACAAGGCAGTTTGGATGAGCAGAGTCTCAGTGCTGGCTCTGCTGTCTTCCCTCCCCTGAGAAGTCATTTCAAGTCTAATTTTTGGTTTCCTCTACCATGAGATAAAGATAAAAGGAGACAAGGATCCCAGGCTGCATAATTTCCCATCTGCTGCGCGTTAGCAGCACACTTGCTGGGCAGGAAGTGCGTGGTACCTAGAAGACCACCTGGGACCCAGATATTTAATGATATTAAGACACTTAAAAGATATAAACTGGCAACATAATGGGATTTTTCAAAAATCCCATAAGACATCTGCTGTGCCTAAGCATTTTAAGAAGCCAGGCCCTCAATCCACATTTAATCCACACAGCTACGTGGCTCCTGAACCTGTAACCATGCAGGGAAGGGGCACAGCATTGTCCCAAGTCCTCTTACTTTAGGGGCAAGAGTGCAAAATATGGAGTCAGCAGATGTTAAAGTGGGAAGTGTGGCTAAAAAGAAGTTAGTACAATTCTCAAAAACTAGCACGGGAAACAGTTTGTTTAAATATTAATGCAGACCGAAATTCAGGAACCAGCAACTTGGGCAGCCAAGACACAAGGCACAAAGGAAAGTGTGCAGCTTCTGCGGGTCCATGACATCGTTACAATAGTTTAAAGATCATAAAGTGAGATATCACAGCTCTAAATACAGTCAGCAACTACAGCTAAGAAAAGCAAGTTCAGGTGGCATGAGGCCATTTCTGCACATGCACCTTCCTCTCTGGTTCTCACCTCCACTGAGATGCAAGGACTATGTTTACTTTCAGAGGGTGAGCACCGATAACCCCAAGACAACCGAAACCCAGCATTTACTATGTGTAGTTAAGTTACTACAGTCAAATAGTAAATACCACTCAGAGAAAGGAAAAAAAAACCAAAATAGAGACTCCTACATTACTGGCACACAGAAACGTATTTTAAGCTGCAAGCAGACAGATGGCCATGCCTCCAGCTCGCTGCTGCCATCCCCAGTGCCACATGGGAGACAACCAGCATGCGTGCGTGAGCACATGGGTTTTCTCTCTCAAGTGGGAGGTAAGAGCAAGACTCATTAGCACTTCTTAATTGCAATTTCCACACCTAAGCTCTTCATTAGAGGCAATTTTTCAGTTTCACAAGTTTCTTCTGCCTCCAGCTCCTTTGGTCTGGACAAACTATTCACCTGTCCCTCCTGGCATTAAGGGAGACCTGGACTCAACACACCACATGGGACTTGAGTTTCAGGAGCAGCAAGCACCTGAAAGAGGGAATTAAGGCAGGCCTGTCAAATCCTTCCAGGGTAGTCATTCCTGCTCCGATACAAACACTCCTTTTCTTCAAAGATAAAGAAACTCTAGGTGCACACATTGCACACTTCCATTGCCTTGGCATGTTGCCTTGTGTGAGTCCCTGTGAGTGACAGGCCTGGGTGCCACAGAGCAGCTGGGGGATAGCACCCCCTTCCCAGCTGTCAATAAAATGGAAGCCTCTACCTTTGCACAGCTGTGGGACAGGACAGCATCCCATAGGGACCACACCAGTGAGGAGGAATGCAGCCCTTGCTGTAACCCACAGCAGCCACCCTCACCATGGGGGTCGGGTTTGGACCTCCAGGTGAGGTGCTTCCCCATCTCCAAAGCGGAGGATGATCGTGTCAGCCAAAGAGGCATGCTCAGGTAAAGAGAACCAGGGCTTTCCCAATGGCTGACGTGTATCCCATCACCTGTCTGTTGAAGTTACCTCAGCAGGCCTGCCAAGTCAGGAGGCCCGGGCAACAAGGGAGAAGCAGCCATCCATCTTCCCCCACACCAGACAGCACACTGCTCTCCTTTCCAGTGCTGGATGGGCAGCACACGGCACCATGCTGCCGGTCAGGCCAGAGAGCAGAGAGCCACCCGCCACTTCCCACTCCCTCCAAACAAAACCCATGTTTTTCCCCCAGATTCCTGCCACAGCCACAGGAACACCAATCCTGGACACTCAGCCAGCACAGAGCAGACAACAGGGCTGCATGATACCACAAGCGAAGGAAAGCACAATGCTGTTGTGGTTGAGGCTGCACCCCTCCAGCTACTGGTGCACATCCCACTGCAGCAGGCAGGAGCCAGCAAGGGTTTGTAGTAGGAGGTCAGAGCAGTCGAGAGAAAATGCAGACACAGCACTACAGACCGTGAATTTATAAAAGGACTGAAATTCAGAGTCCAGGCAGATGAAAGGCCTTGACCTTGTATCAGTAATTCCAAGCAGTGGCAGCTCCACAGACAGCAGAACTGCTGCAGGGTAAGACCTTGTGGCAGAGCTGGAGACCATCATCCTGTCACTGGAAACGTAGTCACCGTTCACCACACACATCCTGTGTGAAACTCATCTCGCCAGACTCCACTGTGTCTCATTTAATGACCAGAAAGTAATTTTCTTCTAGCTCACCCTGCAACTATGCAGTTTCTTAGCACAGATGAAGCTGGCAGGCTACAGACCTCAAAGGTGGCAAGAGGTTTAATTCGTTAAGATCTACAAGTATCTCCAAGATCACAGGCCACATAAAGGACTGCACAGCCCTTCCAACTGGGAGCCCACACCCTTCTCATAGTTCAAGACAAAAGTCAGAGGTGGAGGTTGCAACCAAGGGACCCCTGAGGTTCTGAAACTGCCCTCCTCGCAGACAAGCCGGCTTTTTGTGAGGACTCTTCCTCCCAGGAGAGATGCAGCCCTGCACCCCTGCAGTTTGCATTTGTTCCAGTAAGGACAACCTTACCAATACAGTAAGAAGCTACTTACCGCCCTGTGTGTATGATCGCTGAGACTAATACCAAGATGATTAGAGCAATCAAGCAGAGCTTCTTGGGGAGGGGATGAAAACTCTCTCCCATCACTAGGGATTAAGAACAGATCAGATGCAAAAATGGAGCAGTTGCACACAGCACTTGCTCAGCCTCCACCATCTACCATTGCAAGCGGATTAAAAAACATCATCTCACAGCCAAAAGTTTCTCTCATCACTCCTGATCAGCACTACCTAGTCTTCTGCAGAGTGCCACATACACAGCAGCACAAGCCAATTAAAAAAGCTGTACCATCATTTAAGGAACAACTCTCCCCTGGTACTTCTTCTCCCACCCAGAAATCACCATCACAACTTTGTAGGAAAGCAAGTGGTTCCTAACCTTCATTTGCTCACCTGAGCTGCGCTGGCCTTAATAAGGATCAGGTAGTCCTCAAACTACCCTCTGACCCTGAGCTCCCCGGCTTAGCCAGCAAGAGCTAGTCAGTCACAGGGGACATGGGGCCCTTCCGCCCTTGAAGTTGTTAATCACTGCAACAGGGAGTTTGCTGCCAGACAGTGCTGGAGGAATGCAGTACAACTCTTCCAGCATCCTCCACTGATCAGCCACTAATAACTAAATCAAATGATTTAGCCAAGCAGATTTCAAAACATTTTTCCTCCTAAACAGCTTCAGCCCATGCCACAGCAAGTCAGCCCTGTGCTTTGGCACTGAGGAAGAAGCCATGGGTGATGCTCTCTGGGGCACTCTGACAGGCAGCATGCCGGCACACTGGAGCCATTGGCATGTCTTGCAACAGATGCTTTGTCAGTCACTATGGGTATCACCAGTAAAAGTTACGTGCTTTGGAGCTGGGAAGTAAGGGAAGGAAGACAAGTCCAGCATATACTTTGGCATCTCTTAACACCGAACAGATCTGCAGACTATTTAGACTAGTGTGAGCTGGTCATGCTGCTGAAAGGAGAAGTTCTGCCCTCTCCCTGCCCTTGCCCCTACATTTCTCTCTCAAGCGCCTGTGCAAGTATGAGATGAACCACACCAAGGAACTGCAAACAAACCCAGCATAACCAGATTATTCTTTAGCTGGATCTACTCCCCCATCCTAACAAAAGCTGGTGCCAGCACGAGGGAAGCAGGGGAACAGAGAGAAAGAAGTTGCCCCTTCTGCACTTATGCTGAACTGAACATTGCAGAAGAGAGATGAAAGGCCTTTTCAGACTGCATCTTATTTGACAAGCGCCTTTGCAAGACAGACCTACTCCATATACTTTCAACTCCTCCGTGTACAGAATATTTCCTTTCTACCCCAACGTCAAGCAAAGCATACATATGACTGACAACCTGGACCACAGCAACGCCAACACCAGCCCCACCACCTCACCCCAGCATGCAGAGGGGTAGGAATCAACGGCGACTTCAGGGTCAGCTGAGATTAATGCCGCTTGGTGGGAGGAGCGAATCAAGCTCAAAGTCTGCCAAAGCCGACAGTGTTAAAGACATCGTGATCAGTAATGCAGCACAGTGGTGAGAAGCCTTGGAACATCAGCAGACAACAACAATTTATTTGCTGGCTGGAGGAAAAAGACTCGGGTCAGGCAGAGCTGTTTGGAGCTTGTAATGAGGAACGTAGGAAACAAAAGCGTTTGGAATCTTTCCACGTACTGGAAATGAAAAGTCTGAGTTTTAAATCCCTTATTGCATTTCAGGAGCAAGGCTGTGTTTTAGGAAACGCCTGTGTTCCAAAGAGCTGAGCAAAATGTGCTTTAGATTGCACAAAGAGCTTCATTCAGTCCCTGAAGACTTCTTTTAATTCTTGTTTCCCGCTTTTTCCTCTCCAAGACAAAACAATAATTTTCTTTCGACTTGTTTCCCAAGACACCAACTCTACAGCTCCCAACTATCCCGCGGCACACTCCCCCGTACCCCGTTTTGGGTATTTTCCGACAGCAGACGCCCCAGCTGTCGCGGGGGCCAAGAGCATACTCAGGTCGAGGCGTGACGCCCTGCCTCCCGCCCGGCCCCGCTGTCCCCTCCCGTCCTCTCGACGCCCGC